GTGACGAATAGGATCTAGAATTAAAAAAAAAAGAGCTAGCAATTGAGAAAGATAATGTATGATATTATTTTTTTAAAGATAAAGTCAATATAATGATTAATAAGAATTAAGTGATGCTGCAGTGTAAATGAATCAGAGAAGCCATTTGAAGTGAGACATCGATAGAGACTCTTTGAAAGCTTAGAGATCGATCTTGAAAACAAGTACATATTATCTGTTATCGAGGACTCTACTTTATTATTTATATGTTTGATTTGTTAGAATAGGATTCATTTATAAATGTTGATATAAAAGTGCCTAACTTTTAGCGTTTTGATTTTCGTTTTAATTATCTCAAAATAAAATTTGACCAAAATCCTCTTTTCGGGAATCAATTTGCGAGTCAACGGAAGTAGCTATAAAGATTTTTGAAAAAAATGGTACATCTATTATCTCGATTCTTTCACTTCACGTTTTAACCAGTTTTTTTTTCTGATGTTCGGTTGTCTAGATCATCGCGCCACAGGTTAGCAATATATGATCTGGACGTCGAGTTTAAAAAAAAGGAACAAAGAAAGAAAACTCGCGCAGGACTACATAAATGCTGTGCTTCGCACCGCACTAATAAATATTTCGAAAGTTTCTTAAAAGTAAAATGTCATTTACAACATCACCACTTAAATTTTGCCTTCTCTCTTCCAAAACTCGCCCGTTTGTACTAACAATACGTTCATGTCGAGATGATTTCGAAGATATTTTTTATTACATTTACATGCACATTTACTAGACAAATAATCAAAGGTGACTGAACGCGTCAGCTTATGTAAAAATAGTACTAAAAAATAGGCCATTGTTTTCCGTTCGTTGTTATTCTACCCATTCGATTTAGATTATGATATCACTCTTTACACTGTTTTTGATCAAAAAGATGTCAGAAATATATATCAAGTTCTACTCTATAAAATTTTTATTTGTATGAGCTACACCCTACTTATACCCTAAATATTTTTTTTGTAACCTTACCCTACCCTGCCCTACGAGCTTTATACCCTAACTCTGCCCTGCCCTACGAGTTTTGTACCCTAGCCATACCCTGCCCTGCAGGGTAGGGTAGGGTAGGACAAGGTTGACCTGCAGGACTCTAACACCCACATCCTAATATAATTGAACATGCGAGTTTTTGTAATTGTAAACGTGTATCATTTCCTTCATAGGACAGGATCTCAATTGGCATCTTATTCTCTTTTTACGATGAAGTCTGTTTTATTCACGAGATTCTGTTGGCATCTGTTTATTTAAATCTACACAATAAATATACCTATTGTCGAACGCCTGATGTAGTGATCGAGTGAATATTCTCTACATGATAAAATAGGTTCTTGTAGTTCTTAACCGTGTCAAAGAAGCTAAAATAACTGATCCTTCGTCGAACCTTTTGTGTAATATTTCTTCTGGCTTTAACAATTGATTGTCGGACGCTGTATAATTAGTTAATTTAAAGAATAGTATGGTGTTTTATTAAGTACAAGTTTGTGTTATTCACAGATTAAACTAAGGACCATAAGAAATTTCTGAATGCAGTTTAATTCTTGATCGATCAACACGTTTTATTGATATTAGAAAAACCTTTCTCGCAAAGGATAAGGTGTCAGCGTCTTCATTTATCTTGAAACGTCATAATACAATTCAAGCTTTCGTGTTATTTATTTTTACTATCTATGAACGTTTTCGGTTGCTTGTGTAGATATCGATTTGGTATAAGATGGAGAGGCACTGGTCATTGCTCACATATAATTAGATCACAATGATTCTTTCCGTATAGTTAAGAAGAGTTAAATAAAATCATCCTCATACAATCGTATTGCACAATTTTATGCGATTGAACATCTTGAATAATTTCCATACGGTGATCGTCTTTGTACAATGCATCGCATGGAAATGTAGTCAGTGATAGAACTTTAAAAATCGACAGGCGAACAAAATTGAACCGTTTTTCTGCCGTTGATTTCAATGAAAGCGAAATCGAGAAGAATCGTGATACTAGCAAAACAAATAAGTTGCTCATATGAATAGGTCAATATAGAGAGAATGAACGGCTCCAGAAACAGCAGCATTTGTCACCGTTTCAAAAAATTAATCATTAGCAAAACATTTTAGTTATTTACTTCTGTTTTTGATAGTTTTACAAATTTCTAATTCTACCTTTTTTAATTTATCACAATTCAGTTTCTAGTGTGTACGATCATAGAGAAGTGCACGCTCTATTACGCTACGTACTTGATTTTGAAGTAATTTCTGTTTTCTATTCAAATACGAATGAGAAAGTGGGAAAAAAAGAATATAAAATCTTTATTTAGAAGAACTTGAGAAAAGCATCATCATTGTGCAAGAAACTCTTTTAACAAAAGATGCAACGCAAGATGTTCGTATATGAATCTGCAGAAAAATTGTTAAGTACTATCAAACTATGAAGTTAGTTTCTCGAAAAAACGCTAGCTGCTAGTGATGAAACAATAAAAATATCGGATAAGTCAATTTTTTACAGATGGGAACTTTTGATGAAAACGTTAAGACTTTTCCAAAATTTAATGTGCCAAACTTTTGAGAACATCATTCCATACATTTTGATGTGCTCTTTCAAATGAGACTAGTTTCAGTGGATACGATCTCACTGATCCGACTAAGTTGCCTAAAATACGTGAGCATGCTTTCTGAAAATGAAATATAGTGGCAATTAAAATTTATTCCTGGATGTGGTACTTTTTGTGGGTACCAAAAGATAGCCCATAATCAATAGTATCTTTGGTGAAAGAATCTCAACTATATCTCTTATAACTTGGGAGAAAATGAAAACATACTGAAAAGCACTGCAATATAGAAGCGTCCGATTTTGCTTGAGTACTCATACTTTCAAGTGGTATATCTCGAGAACGGCTCATCCGTTTGAGTTAAAACTTTGGGTTTATTCCTAGCTTGGATGTAGGTATCTACCGTAAAAATATCAGTCAAATCGGTGAGGCCAATTGAGCACTGGTGGTCGTGGCTTACGTGCTATGTCTCCTTAGAATTTCCTTGGGGAAACAAAATGAGACGAAAATTTTTTTCATTCAAAAAGATGCATCTATCATGATTTAAAAATAGAACTATAATTAATGAGTACAATGAACCATTACTTTTAGATTGTTAAATTACTTTCTTGTGTTTCATTAGTCACTTCTTAATGACGTATATTTTTCTGTTTGAACACTTATACTCAGGCATCGCAGGCAATTTCAATACTACGCATTATTATACGGTTGCTTATTTTTATTGACTAGTGAAGAGATTCATAAGAGAACTTCTTAAATACTTCAATGATCGATAGAAACAAAAAATGTTTTTCGCGTCTATTGCTTTATTTCATATAATTACGGAAAGAAAAAACAACTTGTTGCACTGGATTATTTTCCAGTCAAATCACGTTTTTTTTCTTAGCACGATTTTCAATAGAACAATATAGATCGTCGACTTATCGTCAAGGTTTAATTCATTTTATTTTTTACTTTGTTTTAGCTTGCTTCTTGTTACAATACCGGTTACGCGATATATTTGTAAATGTAACAAATAATAAAACAAATATAAATGCTACACTACAAAAAATGATTGGCTATTTTCTTGAAATCATTGCTATTTATTTTATTTTCTCTAAACATCATGATTATTTTATTCAATCACGTTCAAAAGATATGCTCTTTCCATATCCATCATCGCCTCTTAAGTATGAAAATATTTATAAATAAATAAATGAATAATTTTTTTTTCTTTTATTTTTGTTTCAGTGCGGAAGATTGTCAAAAAGAAAACGATACAAATTTATTCAGTAGATTTCTTCGTAAACTTTATGATAATGGTGAAATAATATTTAATTCTCAGCAAATCAAAATTCTTCTGCAATCTGATCAATTTCAATTTTTAAATAAAAAATTAGAAAATAAAAAAATTGAATTTTTGAATTTTTTCGACACCATCATACGTTATCAACAGGAAAATGCATGTCGATCATTGAAATCTCTCTGTCGTCTATCGATTAAAACACATATTAAACAATTTCCAGATGATATTAAACAGCTACCCTTACATTCATCTACAAACGATCGAATTTTAACATATTTAACCTATGAAAATAAGTACATATATGAATCTTATGTGTGATTTTTTTGAAAATAAATCCATATTTATTTTTGTGTTCTATTTCGTCTATTTACATATACATATATATACGTAAAATAATAATTGTGAATTTTTCTTTTCTCGTTTCTTTGTAACCATTACAGTAAATGTGTGCGTGTGTGTTTATGAAACATTAAACGACGAAATGAATAGAGTAATCGATGTTGCTTGGTAGGCTTTAACTATTAGTTTTGGATAATTGAGAATAGTCAATGAATGAAAATGAAAAGCTCGCCGTCTTATTCATTTGATACTTCACTCCTACACTTTTCATAGCATCATAATTTCTTTTTTTTAGATGTCGCTGACTGAATTGCCTGATGTTGCTTTGATAAAAATTTTTCGTACACTTGATCATCTTGAATTAGTTCGTCTTTATCATAGTTTTGATACATCGAAACGTATACAAAATTTAATACAGAATTGTTCATATCTATGGACGAGTGTTCATTTAAAACCTACTGTTGATTATCATTTGTTTTATTATTTTTGTCGTTTGTTAATGTTAAATGCATCAACTATTCGTCAATTAACAATCGATGAACTTGATTTAACTTGTCGAAAGATCCTTTATGATAACGAGTTTTCTCTAAAACGATTTTTTCATCTTGAACAATTAATAATTCATGACGAATATATATGCAATACGTTACAGTCGTTAAATTTTTGTTCGTTAACATTAAAACATTTATGTTTAACAAATGATCACGTAAATTTAAATTCTATAAATACTTTAAATCAATTAGATTCTTTACAGTTAACATTTTATTCAATAGATATTCTTAACAATAGATTCGAACGATTAATCAATCTCAATTTAAAAGTAATGTTTGATTATGAACACAATTCTCATGAGATATTTTCTCGTTTACCAAGAAGCCATTTACAAAGTCTAACGTTGAAATTTCTTTTGTTAAACAATGATTACAATTTTGTTAATGAATTTAATCAATATTTATTTTCTTGTCTGTATCTCCAAACACTGGAATTATCGTACTTACATGGAATGTGTCCCGTATGTTTATATACAAATATAGATTATGCGAAATATCAACGAATTCTATTTATTAATATATGTGAATTAAAAGAAATGAAAAATTTTATTGAACCAAATCGAATTGATTTGCCTGTGGAATATTTACAATTGAATTCAGCATTAAGCACAAATCAATATTCATCGCATGTAAAAAATGAATATTGGTCCGGACGTCAATTGATATCTCTTGATTATATACAATGTGTAACGACATCAATAGAACTTTTGAATGATTTGAATATAATCTGGTCAGATAAAAATCAAGCAACACAATCATTTGAATCTTATATACTCCGTTCGATTTATAATGTACCTTATTTAATATCTTCCATACGGAATTTGTCGATAACTAGATTCGAATTAAGTCTTAGTGGTTTAATGACAATAATGACAAGTTTTCCATTGGTAACCAATTTTATCATAACCGATGGGAAAATTGATCAAATGGGCTCAGGAATGTGGAACATGGAAAATATATTAAGAAGTTTACCGAACATATCTCAATCGAATATACAAACAATTATAATGAATAATATTCGAATGTCATGTCGAACAGTTGTTCAACTGTGTTTAGTTACTGAGCAATTATTATCCTTAACAATCAATGATGTTCGAATATTAGATAAAATGGTTATTTTAGAACAAAATCAAACAGATAGTCGTTCAAGTTTTCTTGTTGTTTTAAAAGATATTGCTCAACATACAGATCAATTCAAATGGAATCAAATGAAATCATTAACAATAGGCACGCTCTAAGTTTTCTCTATAAGAAAAATTAATTTTTATCTTTTCTAGGGAAAAATATGATTAATCATCGAAATCTTTTAGCATTTATTCCATCCCATGTCAATGATACGTACTCAATGAATTTAAATCATTTACGTATTATTATTTATGATCATACCGTATTAGAAGCCAATGATACATTTAGACGATCCATTAGAAAATTAGTAAAAACTTATTCGAAATTAACATCACTTATTATTGAATTTACAAAGCGATATGAAGGGCTTTTTCGCTTACGAAATCAGTTGCATACATTATTCGAATTAAATATTAATAAAAAAATTCATGTTTATCCTACTGCACATGACTATGCTTGTCGTTTTTGTTTTGATACAAATTTTAGTAATGAAGAGGATGATGAAAGTGATGAAACTAGTTCTAGTCAAAGGAATCGAACATTTTGTGGTATACCGATATTTAAATCTAAAAAACAACGAAAATCAAATTCTTTTCCATAAAAATATTTTTATATTATAATAAATCGAAATTGTTTTTTTTTATTTTCATTATTCTTCATAGGATCTTCTTTCGAAGATATTAGTCGATATTTCTTTGGCGGCAAACTTATTCTAATAATAAAAACCCATTGACAATGGTTATTTAAATTGAATGGTAGATGAGAAATTCTATTACCTATGGATTAGATGCTTATAATTCTTCAGGCTTTATTTTATCTGAAAGATTAGATGAATTTCTATAGAAGAATTCACACGAGACTCGGGAATCTCAAATATGACCCATTGATATTGTATGAGTTATTTAGATATTGAGCATCAATGCAATAACAAGAAACATTTCGTAGAGTTAAAAATATCGTGATTTACATATTTGAGTAATTGTTTTCTGTTCGTGTTGATGTCGATTGAGCACAGAAATTCAGGAGATTACTATTTGCGTATATATTTCGATGTAATTCCATCTTAGATAATTTTCCTATGAAAAATAATTTATAGCCAGAAAAATATAACGGAAAGATTGAATTTCGTCCTTTTGTGAAATAGAATTGTGTGTTGTAATATAGACGAGAAAGTCGATCTGGCTCATCGTGCCTTTTGCTAATTTCGTCTTACATTTTTCTTTTCGTTTTAGATTATCTCGAAACGATAGTGATCTTTGTTGTCAATCGAGCTCATCCTCAAGATCAACGTTATCAAGTTACCATTAGTAAGTTTATTATGATCTATGTTCAGTTACCATAATCCGAGCTTTCTGTTTTCAATATTTGATGTTAAATGTTTGCAGATATTATGAGATATCATTCTAGTGAAAAAAGCAGTTAAATACCTGAGATTTCCATAAACAAGAAATATCTGTTTGATGAATATTAGAAAATCTGTTATGAAATTTAGCTAAAATTATATAGCAAATAGAAAAATCTCGGGAGTACATTTGAACCTACATGTTAATTCAATCTTTATACAGTGAAAAATCGACCTATACTGAATAGGATTTATCAAGTTAAGCGAAATATTAATTTCGTAATGAGATATTATCGACTTTTTAAATTCTATGCATTTATCGAAATGTTATCTAAAACTTTTAATACTAAATAAACGCTGCGAATGCTTTAGTTTTTTTTGCAAGTCTTTTAATTGTATTCTTATTTTGATCTGAATGCGCGTTCAAATATCAAAAATGACGATTGATTTTTTATCCGTACGAAGTTCCGTATAACTAAAATGAACAAATGATTGCTGATTAACGTAGGACGTGATATTCATTTACGTTAATTATTATAGCTCGAATTTAAATTAGAAAATAGCAACAATAGCAACATGAAAGCGTCCATCATTTTCGCCTTTTAATATGTAAGAGATCTCGAAAACAATCTAAGAAAAACACTTCAAAAGAAATTTTGGCAATATACGTTAATGTTGTTACTGCTAACGATCGATGCAAATTAAAGGTATTTAATCATAAATCATGTAATTTTGTTTTTCATTTGCCATCAAGTATCATTGGCCTCAAGACGTCCGTTACTCTTATTTGATGAGTATTTCCATTAATAGTCAACCAGAAAAAGACATTCAGAGACCTAGCACTTCAGCTTGTTAGAAATTTTTCTTAAAAAATTTTATTTTGATGAGACGGTTTTCTTATCAATGAATGAAAGTGCTAAGACAAAAGATGCTAATGGAATAAAAAATCTTTAAAATAATTTGATGAGTGTTTAAAGAAAATCATCTTGGAGTTGAGTTCAAAAAAATGAAATATACTGACAAGGGAGGGCCACCAAGTGTTCAATTGCTTTTGCGTTGAGACTATCTAGATTGTGTAGCTCCCAAGGTGTTATGAATACGCTAAAAATATTTTGCGCGGATAGCTTATGGTTACGAAAATAGTCCATTTTTATTGTATTTCTTAATTATTGCCTTAGTCCCCTTCAGGAACATTCGAAAATTGATTTTCGAATTTGAACTTGAAATTTTATGTAGCGATACGTCTCAACGAGAGTAGTGTCTTTTTAATGCTTTTGATCATTGCATTTATTTGTTTCATTAAATCTGCTACTTCATTTGAACGATGTATAGTACAACTTTCATAATACCCGTATCTAACGGTAGGAATAGTAGAAAGGTCTGAAACGTTCACAAGAAGTTGTTCTCCTTAGCGAGTCTTTCTATGAAAAGTTTCAAGCCAAAATTCGAACATCAATTTTTTTAATGTCCCTGGCGGGAGGCGGAGCAGGCACTCCACAAAGCTCATACCTTAGAAATGGCGTAGTTTCGTCACAATAAGCTATCCGTTCAAAATATTTTTAGCGCATTCATAACTCATCGGAAGCTACATAATGTAAGTAGTTTCAGCACAAAAGCGATTGAACACTCGGTGACCCTCCCTCGTAAGAATATTTCGGATATCTGCGTGCCTCGATAGTCGATTAACTATGGTGCGATGAGTTGATTAACTTTGCGAATAAGGACATCCAGGAAGACCCTGTAAGTTGAATATTCTATTCATTTTCTTTTTGCAGGTTATTTCTGATAGGAAAACCTAGATTGAATAAGAAATAGCCCTAGAGATAGTTACTAATCATTATTGTTTTTCTTTCGGGTATTATGATGTAGAAAAAGATTTCAGTAAAAACAGAAATGGAGCTCTATACTATTGATATATCAACTTGAAACGTATCTATTGACAAAACGATAATGTATCTGAATCAGTTGGATATCATCATACAATCTTCATGTGAAAATATAGTCTTAGAAGGCATCTTTTAATCTCATGTTGTCCAGATTCATCGTTTATGCCAAACTCGATCAATCTATAATTAGCTCCTCATTTCCCAGCAATTAAAATAAGTGAAATGATTCGCACAGAGATTATTTATGGTTTTTTGTCAATCTTGAAAGAATAAGCAGAAACCAAACATAATAAACTTAGTTGCTTTATGAAAGATTCTTTTACTGAACGACCAACTCTCATATATAATCGCATTTTGCTGAACTTTTCTTCATCATATGCTCAAAAATAGACCATTTGACTTGCAAATAAAAGGATTATATTGATTTTTGCATTTTAGACTAAGTTTTAAAATCGAATTAAAGACAGCCAGTTGATCTGAAAGGGATATTATTTACTCTCAAATTTAATTTAAGGATTAATCGAGTTTTCCGCTTCGAAAGCAATTAGCAAAGTATAATCTATCGTAACTTTCAATGAAGTACGAGCAAGTAGTAGACTACGATACCTCAATGAAACGGAGTTCAATGTTCCTTTGTCATTTTTTATCATAAAAGCACACATTTTATCTAATGAAATATTCTTCATTTAATTTCCCATTAAGTAGGCTATTTTTATTTTAGAAAATACAATATTCTTCACTTGCAAATGGTCTATTGATATGCAAAAAAAGCTGATTGCTTTAGCACTCTCTTAAATTATCCTTTGATTGTCTAATAAACGGAAATTCTGTTTTGATGTCCGCTCAGTGCATTATTGAAATAGGCTCATTTGATAAATGTTATCGATAGAAACAGGAATCATGTCAATCGAGACTTTATATTTAGTAGAATATATTTGACTACAGACATGTTTCAGAATGCTTTAATGAAACCCATTGATCAACAAAAACAAAGAATAGAACGGATTATATTAGCTTAAATAAAGCGTACTTCTTCAAAAGTATTTTAAGTGAAGTTCTTTTGCACACACCAAGTGTTCATGTTGACGATGAGCGTTGAGAACGTTAAACATGCGATCCATGCATAATTTTATATCGTTGTCAAACTCCGAAAAACAAAACTCAGGTGTGTACTTGATTAGTTTCATATTGAATTCCTATCAATAAAATTCTGTCAAACCCAAGATTTCTGTTTTATCTTGCGCAGTGAATTTTTCAAAAATTTATCTCGAATATTTAAATAGATAATAGTCGTGAAAACTTCCAAGAAAAGTTGAGCATAATTAAATCGGTGAATTCAACTGGAAGGAAAAGCGCTATTCATTTTTTTATGAAATATACAACATGTTCGCTTAACTGTTAAATTTTTTCTCCGAATCTGTGAATCTTCTTGTGATGATGTTGTTTTTCTCTTCTTTTATTTCATTGATAAAAACAAAAAGAAATAAAAAAGTTGGTGCCAACATTATTTCTAATTTTTCTCAGGATGTAACAAATAACTTGCATCAATGGCATTTTCTTCATGCAGCACATTTATTTCATAATTACAAATAAAAAAAGATCGAGGATATATGTTAGAAGAAAAAGCAGATCACATATTTAGTCTTGAGTATTGAATACAGAATGTGTTCCATATGGAAATGTGAGTATAAACGGCCGAGAGAAGCCATTTTTTATTATTATAAAAATTATTTCCGCTTGTATTTTCAAAGGTATCTGTGGTACTAAAATAAAAGAACAAAATCAAATAGGCACTGTTTCTTCAACCATGAATTATCTTTCATTACCAGGACAAACTGCGAGTACAAACAAGCCACGAGTTCAAGTAATATTTTACTTTTGTTTTTGTTTGTTGCTAACAATTCTAACGTTTTTATTCTTGTAGGTGGCTTTAGCTCCAAAGCATGGTAAAATAAATATGGGTTTATAATGAATTATTTAGCTTTGTTTCAATTAGGTTTGATGGATTGGATAAGAAAAACGAGTAATACGCCAAATTTGTCTGGAACCAATGGTAAAATTTTAACTATTACTGAAGAAGAATTAGCTAAACATAATACAAAAACAGACTGTTGGACTGCGATTTCTGGTATAGACGAAAAATAATTTTCTATAAAATTTTAAAATAATTTTTTTCTCTCTCTCTCTCTCTGAAGGACATGTTTACAATATAACTCCATATCTTGACTATCATCCCGGTGGCGTTGATGAAATCATGAAAGGTGCTGGTATTGATGCAACGACACTTTTCCAAGATATTCATTCATGGGTTGAGTTGAAAAAATTTCAAAATCATTAAATTGAGTTAATTTTGATTTATTCTTAGGTTAATTTTGCTTCGATGCTTGAAAAATGCCTTGTTGGTCGATTGGTTACTAGTAAAAAAGAAGCACCATCGAACAAATCAAAACCTGTAATAAACCGTCTTCGGTTTGACTTTCGCCAGCCAACTTCAAAAAGTTTAACATGCTTTATCTATACTACATGTTCTTCGTTGGCAAGAGAAAATATTTTTGTTAATATTGAAAATTCAAAAGAAATTCTTGTTCTCGTATACATCGATGGATTTGTTCATACCATAGCCATAGGTAATTTTATAATCATAAGAAAATCCATGACACGGTTAAGAAATTATTTATTTAGAATTACTGGAATTCATAACAAACAAGTTCGATGGTAAGATAATAATGTAAGCCGACTTTGTTTTCTACACGATGATTATTTAGTTCGTATTTCCTCGAATAATCGTAGTCAAATAGAAATTGATTTAAATAAGCAAACTGATCAAATGTGGAAATCCATTGGAAAATTTCTACCAAATCATTTATCAATCGCTGCCATACATGATTTTGGTATGTTTAACATGATTCTAATCATATGCGATGCAATATTCGCTGAGACTCTCCAAACTAAGGAAGAAAAAGTCATTCCAATAGAAAATTACAGCCTCTGTATTCATACAGGTACCTAATGAACACAAGATATTATTAAATATTCCAAATTGGTTTCCGGGTGTTTTTCCTATGAAAGATTTTTTTTTCTAGATATTAATTCTTTTACTTTCGTCAGGGTAAACACGTGCTTTCATCAGATGTGAATTGTATTAAACTAATTCGTATTTTTGTCCGATGAATTCTTATTGTTAGTCAGTGAATGCTATCTATTTGAATATAAAACTATTCTCAGCTGGATTCACTAAGAGTTATTTATCATAGAAAATTATTTTTAGTATCCTTTGAATTCTAGTCCCTAATCTCAATGAGGGTAGATATTCATTTTATTATATCAAGGTATTTATATTGATTAGAAGATAAAAGAAAATCTCTCGATATATATATATATATATAAGTAGCTTCGTGTATTCGACAGTGTAGAGTATACACCTCGAATAGCATCGCCTTCAGATTCTTAACACGAGTAATTTATTTTCTAATCCCCGCTGAGTAATATTTGGTTTATCGTTCAAGTAGCGCAGTGGATACAACAAATTCTGTTATGTAAAGTAGTTTATGATAAAAAAAATCATCGTGGAGATTAAAACAAAGTAGCCATGATTAGAAATAAAATCTTAGCATCTCGATGCGAGTTGATTTACCTCTGATTAAACGAGATTTAATTAACGAATTTGTGTAACCAAAAACGAAGTCATGTCGTACAGCAGAAAAGGTAATGCATCTGAAGAGTTAGTTTGTAACGGTGCTCTGATGACAGAAGTATTATTGTATTTGAATAGATGCCATTTAGCTCAGTTCAAATAGTAGAAATTTGTTTTACTCATGACACCATCAGTGCAATATATTAATATGATATTCCGCAGGGAATATCAACTGTTAATGAACATTCTGAAATTCATAATAATGAGTCACTGCCTTAGAGTCACTAGTTCCATCAATACTCGCAGTCACTGTGACATGAAAACTCTGTACATTGAAATTGTACATTCTTATCCTATCGTTGGCAGAGTCCTGCGCACAATGTCCTATTTGACCAAGCGTTTTTGAACTCTATCTTTGAAAGAGTTCTGCCCTTTCTGTAATTCATGTTGCATACTAAACTATTTCTTTTTCAATAGCACATATTTGAATAATCTACTGTTTTTTAATCGTTTAGAACCCATATACTTTACTGCTACTCTCATTCAACGAACTCCAGTAACACATGACACAGATTGGTATACATTCTCCTTGCCGTCTCATATCTTCATGTTTCCACCCGTCGGTTATCATGTTCGACTGAGACAAGCAAACGAGGGTTTGCATTAAGTTTGTCTTTCGTTATTTACATTCTATCATTCGTATTTCATTCAGGTCTAATTGTTGTTAAACCTTACACAGTCGTAAGAAGTTTAAATAATGAAGGAAATTCATCATCGGAATCTACAGTTGAATTACTCATTAAACATTATCCAGATGGAGCTATGACTTCAAGTTTAAAAAAGCTACTTATCGGTATGTAAATTTATGACAAAAGCTTTCTTATTGAAACAGGTTTTTTTCCTAAAAGGTGATCCTATCGAAATGAGTTCGTACGAAGGCACGTTTGATGTTCATAGAATTGATTCATGTGAAACACTTATTCTTGTCGCAGCTGGTACTGGTTTAACGCCAATGGTGCGAATTCTTAACTATGCAATTTCGCAAATTAACGTTGGCAAAAATATAGATGCATTTGTATTATTTTATAACAAAACGGAAAAAGATATTCTATGCCGAGAAAAATTAGATGCAATATCAAAGCAATATAAGTGAGTAAAAATGATCGTTTATTATTTGCTTTTCTTGAAAGTAATTTCTTCTGCCTTCACTACTATAAGAGGAATTAATATTTCAGAGACTATTTCGATATCGAGAGAGAAAATTACTTTTGAAAATCAGATACAGACAGTTGGTAACGTACAAAAATTGGTTTCGATATTAACATAAAACAATTTTCACTTAAGTCAGAGACATTTTGTTTATGGACTACTCACAATTAACTTCAATAACGCCAAATTATGAAAATCATATCAGTTATACTTATGCATTCAAACGTTGTCTTTTAATTTCGAACAAATCTTAATTTTATTCACAGATTTACAATACATCATATACTTTCTCAGCCGGAACCTGAATGGACAGGCGAAACAGGCTATATCAAAGGCGAACTACTTCGACGATTACTACCACCATTACCTCAGAAAGATAGCGAGACTCAGAGACTTGTCTGTATTTGTGGACCAAAACCGTTTACAACATTAGCGACTGAGTATGTATAAGCCGATAAATTGAAATTGAAATTCTACTGCTTTTTTTTTAAGTCTATTCAAAGAAAACAAATACAACGAAAATCATTTACATTTATTTCTTGCCTAATGCACAAAATAATTTAAAACTATACCGCTCAATAATTACCATCAAAGCGAGATTATGTAAAAACAATTAATAAAATAAATATTATTTTTTTTTGATAACCATAAATACCGGGGAGCAAATTGTTTCATTATTTATTTTGCTTTATTTCGATGATTCCTCAGATCCTTATACAGAATCGATTCTTTTAGTTGACGACCAACAAAAACATAGAACTGTTTAGAACATTGAGGTGATAGATATGGATGAATAGACTTGGTTTAGCGTCCCCGAATGACTAATCAACAAGTAGAACTTGTTTAATATCACATCTTGTTCCTATCAGGTCAATGAAATTGCTCGAGGTAATATTTTGCTGATGTCAAAGGTTCACATAAAGATAAAGATCATCCGGCAGGCGAGAATCTATTTTTATAGAAACTAAATTCACATATTTTACTATTTCTCTAGTAAGATTGAGATTTGGAGTCTCTGATGAATATGAAAAGAACAGTTAGTTATTATCTTTCACCATGGCCTGTATAACCCTGGAAAGTCGAAAATCAAACGTTATTATCAATCACAGTAATTAAAAATGATTTCCGTCGACTACAGCAATCATCGCCAAAGTTCTACGAGAATAATCGTATTCTTGTACATTTATTTTTATAGTTGGACGCGTACATCAGCATGATGTTCAGGTGCAGTTATTGCAAGCTGGTTACAATAATATACGAGCACATTACTTTTCCTGTGAGTTTAGTAACCTAAACAGGCATGAATTGTTTGTTGTTGACATCGTGCCATTTCTAATATTTCATTGGTAATGAATAGACCTTTAATAACTTCTGAGTTTGTCATCAAACAATACAATTCAAACATTTTTTCCTCCTAAATATTGATTATATTGAGCAAAGCTCCACTATTCGAAATGCTTATGACCTTGATTAAGTACTATGTTTTTCACTTCACCAAGAAAACTCCAGTAGCGTGATGTTAATCTGAAGAAGAGGAAAAAATACGAGAGTTATTTATTACGCCATGCTCGAAAACTTTCTGGTCTTATTCTAGCACGAATACTTATATTCTGCATGAACCTATAAATTATTCTGTCTCCTATACTGATCAACTTCATTAATCAAGTTTCATTTTTTCTTGTCGTAAATTTATAATGTTGCTACGTTGACTTTATTTCATTATTAATTATTTTTCGAACATTTTGACTTCACTGCTTGCTCTTGTGGCCATTATTGTGGCATATCTATAAAGAGTTCATCTTTCTTGTTTTTCTCTCCTTATTGATTAGATGTATATGATCATGAAGATTAATTCTGAGAAATATGTCTTAAGTCGAGTCAAATTAATGATCTTAAGATGAATGTTATTTTTCATGTTGCTTTTTTGTATTGAAATATATATTTCATCATAAGATGCAAGCAAGAAATAGTATTGTTTTTGCTACTTTTTATTGATTAGCTCTTTTATATTGTAGGTTTTGAATGTGATTCATTTCGGATTTCTATTGGGAATCCTGCGCTTTCATATTATACTATTAAAAAAAAGAATCTATTAGATTGTAGAATGATAATAGTAATTGTACGATGATTGAATTTCTAATTGATTTCAAATTCGCATTTCTATTTAGTCATCGTTCTTAAAAGATTTGCCTTGTCGAAATTCAGAAAGTTTCACAAAACTTCGTTCTGTGAACGCTGTTTGCCAAACAGTAAAATTTATTCAAATATGCTCATTAAATATAATATTAAAAAAATATCTTCTAGTCTGTACGACCAACCTACACTGCCAAATTAAATACAAATGCCAAAGGCATCGTAGAATGGCATGTACCATGCCTGCGGGCGGGGGCGACCGATTCTATCACTATACATGATTAAAGAGTGTTCCGTGAAAGTTCTTCTCATTAATATCGTTGCATGCGGACGCGAATGAATATCACATGAGACTTAATTAATTAAATATTTTGACATTATCAGTGAACCTGCTTATCCGGGAATAATACCTTAAAATAGTTACATATTAAAATTCTTTCAAAACAATTAATTATATCATATATGCAGTAGGCGTATTAATTTGCGTGAATACAAGCTTCTCTATGATAAAAGAAAATCTTGAAACATTAGACAGTGAGCATATTCGATAGATTAACTGCGAGTACATTCGAAAAATGTTTTGACTTGTTTATGAAACATAGCGAGTTCTATGGCAGTAATTTGTGAAATGCTTGTAGTGATAGCTTGTGAAATGATGAATAGCCTTTAATGAACGTTTGCAACATTTAAGAGCATTTTTTTCTCCGCAAGCTCATTATTGATTCTAACTGCATTCAGATAATATGTAAAATTAGTCGCTTCTGTTTTTGGTTTGTAACAAAAAAAAGCATGTAGTTAATCAAAAGCAAACTTTTCCCGTATTCATTCGTCTGTAGTTTATGATCGTCAGAGATATAGGCTGTTATGTAGACGTTATCGAGATCTTTGTTTCTTCTCTCGGCACTTTGCTCCCATAGTAAATATTTACTGTTAGTTCTCCAGACTTATTTTGTTGATTTGGTAAATAGATCTAATTGATTGCTGGAATTTATATTTAGATAACTAAAAGTGGATTAATGTTGTATTTTATTCTTGTTGTTTTCGTTTGAAATAGAAATTATCAATGATCAGATACGTTTACTTATTCATAATCTATCTCGGCTACAAGTAGATAGAAACCGACGTTTTGCTTTTTAGTTTTATTTTCGTTTTAAATTTATTAATAGAAAGATAAACCAAAAGAACGACCCGTACATGACGATGAAAGTGAAGTCCCATCGATATCAATAGAACAAAAAGAAACTTTGCAAACAGAATCTTGCTAATTAAATTCCCGCAGGCATAACTCAACAACAGCAACCATCAACTTTTATTGATTATGATGAAGAGTTTTCATAAAATAAGTTCTTCGTGTTTATTTCTGTTTTCATTAGACACAAAAAAAGATAATAAAATTTTCTTTGTACAAAAAAAAGAAAAACATCACCGGAAAAAATGTCTTTTAATATAGTTATTTTTTTTCCTTAAATGTTGTTTGAGTTTAATGTTTTATGAGGCGTTCGTGGACTTGAGCAAGGAATTATTGGTATTGTTTCACGTAAATTATAACTTTCTGTTATTGGTACACGCGGATGTTCTATCATTTGATACCAATGATCGTAATTAATGCCATCAAAATGAACACCAATACCAACGCAACCAATTAATTCATTTGCTCCGACACGATCATAATCGATTACTTTAAATATAAGATCCGTGTCTTCAAGTGATTCAACGGCTATATCGAATTCAAGACTTTCATTATAAGTTGGATTAAGTGTATTTGATTGAACAGACGTTTTTTTCTTTCGAATTTTTTTTCCATTAATTAATAAAATTACTTTTACATATGGATCTGATTTGCCAGTTATATCCATTGGTTTTAATGCACTCGCTTTAACTAATGTAACTGTCACGCGTTTAGCATTTGGTAAATAGCATAATGATACTGTAAGCTCGCCAAGATCAGGATCGCTCTAAATGTTAAAAATAGAAAACTCCGATTATGAAACATGATAGATTTTATAGTGCAAAAGATATTTTATTCTTAGTTATTAAAAATGATCATATGTCCTATTTGAGAAACATAATAATGTTTTGTAAATAATTTAAAATGGAAAATACGAGAAAGAAAACAAAAAAATTGTTTTTCAGTTTAGCTTTTTTTGACAGAAATAATTTTTATCGGTTGTAATTTCCAGGTAAATGTGGCATTCTTTTCCGTGTGAGAAGAATTATTTATAATGATATATTTGAATAAAAATTTTCTCCTATTTAACTCAACAAGAAATATTTTTTTGTTCCTGAATAACATATTTTTATAACGACAAGCAAATAAATCATACGATCAAAAGACATGTCGAGCTCTTAATAACATTTCTATTGAAAAAAACATATCTTAGTACTTTTTCGGAAAATATACTTCTTAACAATGTCTTTAGATTAAGTACATGCAAGAGGTTCAATCGTATTTTCAAGATTTTTCTATATTATCTGAAAGAAAAAAATCGATAGTGAAATATCATCAATAAAAAGAACATATGTTTATCTCGCGCTAGACTTAAGATTCTAATGGGTATATTTATTTATTTATTTTAAAATAATTGTTCAATATAATAATGAACAGATTTTCCTAGAAAATATTTTAAACGAGTCTACTCTAAAATTATTTATTTTCATAAGTAATTATTCTTATTGCACATATGATAAACTTCATTAATTTAAAAGAGTGGAGTGTGAATGTTTTTCTTTGTCGTATAAGGAATAAATGTGCAAGCCTTGTATTGTGCTAACGGGTACTATTTTTTGCTTTTACGCTTACTATCAGATTGGTCGATTAGTATTGCATGTTATACTGCTCTTTCTATATCAAACAATTCTCAATAGAATTTGCATTGCCTCGAACGTTCTTGTGTTTTATAATGAATGAACTAGCTTGCTGATTCCGAGACAATGTCGTTATGAACATTAGTCTTATTTTTATTATTATTATTATTATTATTATTATTATTATTATTATTATTATTATTTCTCATACTATTAGAAAATTTAATTTAGTTATGGCAAGCGAATCAAATTTTTTGCTCTAAATTCTTGTTTTCTTCATCATTACGTTTCATGTTTTCTGTCTAATCAATAATGTCACGAGTACTAAGTGAAAGAGCGAACATTGATATAAACGCTTTGTTTTTCACAAGGAAACTAGATAAGAAGACTAATATGCTTATTGACATTTACGCTGCAGGTCATAGGTATCGCGAAATTCAATTCTCAATCAGCTTAGTTGATAAATTTCGATTAACAACAAAAACTCATTTATGGGCTTCCTTTTTTTTTTGATTTTTCCATCTGACATTTACGCGCGGATATGTGCATCGATAAAAATCGGAAAAAACCTGCTTCGACTACTTTGTATTACTGCTGGTACTTTTATACTCATGGTTTAATTTCCGGAGCCTATTTTTTTTTGTTATATTCAATCAGAAAAGATAAAAATAAAAACGGATATCGAAAATGCTTTGGTCATGAAACGACCTACCTCGGTGCCCGGAACAATACTTCTTATACATGTCACATCGTTTGATGCTATTTCAGGCATTATCGAAACGTCATCGATTTTCACAGTTCCAATCAATTTTCTTTTCGTTGATCGACCAAAATCATAGACAGACAATAATAATATTCTTCGACGCAGTTCTTCATAGCTAATTTGAAATTGAAATGTTTCATTGATCTCTATGGATTGTGCTCGTTTATGAACTTTCGTTTGAAATTTTTTTCTACGATCTGGTAACAAAACAATTTTAATAAATGGATCTGGTAAAATTTTTGAATTCAAATCTCTATATGGTAAGTTTTCAATCGATAGAACTGTAACTATTAACGATGTTATTTGTTGATTATAGAAAACTGTAAATGTTATTTTACCACAACCGTATGTTGGATCACTCTGTGATGTTTGTTTCATATAGAGATCTGGTTGTAATTTACCAAGATTATCATTTAAATAACGTATAGATTTAACACCATTTAAACCAGGTATTTCAACTGTTTCAATAGATTCCATTCGACGCATAGGATTTCGTATTGGAAAAGTGCATGTCGTATCTGTTGATTGTCGAATAAGAGAACGTGATCGGCCTATAAATTTTGTTGTTGCATCAGTTAATTTGTTCGTGTCATGATTATTTTCTAATGAGAAATTTGCATCCACCGGAGGATTATTATGATAGATAGGCTGTGACAACGACTTGTCCTCATTATCTTTCATTCCTGTTTCATCAATTTGATTCGATTCTGAAACATGACGACGAAGTATAGATTGACGATGTGTAAAACGATCAGTTAAAATTTTAAAATTTGTTAGTAATTTTGGTGATGATAGTGGTGATGATGTTGGTAAGATATTTGAAATAGTTTTTGAATTGGGTGGTATCGATTGATTTGAATTTGGTATTGACTTACGTGAAATAGGTAAATGATTGATAATATGTTCGTTTGATGATACAGATGAATTTGATGAAGATTCCGACGGACGTATAATACACAATGAGTCTTGAGTTGTTAATTCATCAACGCGGTCATGGCTATTATTTGTTGTTGTTGTTGAAGATCCTGTTGAGAATGGTAATTTAATGTTATCAACTGTTTGCCGAAATTTATCCACGAGAATATTTTTTGGTGATGAAAGTTTATCAACTTGATTTCCCACGAATGAACGTATATTAAACAAATCACTCATGCCTTTAAAAGAAATTCTATCTAGAAATAACAAAAAAAGACAAAACAACTGAAACTTTTATTCATCTAAAACTCAATTATAAAATCCAGCAGAAAAGAATTCGTTTGGGAATTGCTCATTATATATTTATTTAAAATCACAAAAAAAAAAAATGGAAACTAAAATGTATGCAGATATGGGAACATGCACGACTAGTAGACCTATTCAAAAGAGTAGCGTAAATAGAAGTGATGATAATGAAACTGGTTTACCACTTACTACCAATGCTCTAAAATCGGAAACAATGTAATAGTATAGAGAAAGGAAAGAAACGAAGAAAAAGAATAGAGAAAGAGAGGGAGAAAGAGAAGAAGAATTCTCGAGTGCTTTTTATGCTATGGCTCTATAACAAAAGAAGATCGATATGATGTAATCCATATCAGCTTTGATTGAGTAGGTTTTAGATTATTTGAGTTTCTTTGTTGTTCTTTGTCGTTTTTGATAATAAGTAAATAGAGAGAATCTTGCAAAGCAAAAGAAAAAAGAAAAACCAAAAACTATTATATACGTAGAAAAAAAATCTCGTCTATGAATCCATAGTTATACATGAGAAAGAAGCATGAATTCTGTTGGGGAAACGTTTCAAAAATATCAATAAGGTATCTGTGTGTAAGCCGAGGCAAGCACTTCAACATCAAATTAATGATTGTCAATAACAGACGGTATCTTCCCTTTCGCTAGAATGCATACGTCTAATTTACAAAGTAAAGAAATATATAATATTTTGCGCAAACCTGTGAACTCTGACAGGCAAAGCTCAACCGCTAAAAGGTTAACGACTCCTCCCCTCCCACGGTGAATATACTACTAATAATAGATTAGAATATATAAGATATACATAAAGATAATCAAATTACTTTTGTTTTGCTTTTGTACATACACAAACAGCTATACATAAGTACGCATATATTTATGTATATATGACGAGTAGGATAATGCATCATTTTCTTGTTTTCTAATTAACCTTTGTTCATGTCATCGGCTTTTATTCTACTTAAAGGAAAACGAATCATGAGTAGAAAACTATATTAAGAATAAAACGACAGAAGACAGCAAATCTTAAATATTCGGACGGAAAACAAGAGAGACGCAAGACAAAATTCCATTGAACACTTGTTTGACTACAAATAGTTTACGTTTGTTCTTCTTGATATGTTCGCTTAGTAAGGAAGACTGTCGCTTTCTTTTATCATTTTAATTATCATTTTCATATTGCTCGCATTTCTCTTCTTTCTTTCTTTCCTTTTTTCTGTTTTTCAGCATTCTTCTCGTGTTGCTCTAGTTTCTGTCTCGCTTTTCTTTCCGCTTTCTTTGCATTTTCTAGATCAAATTCCTCTAGAGGGGTCTGCATGCATGTATGAATGAACAAGAGAAATAATATGAGAAACTACAGCGAGCCATCACGATTTTGAAACTAAATCTATGGCGAATAATGAAATGTTAAACCCTGTGTCGTTCTATGTAGCCCGTTGTCGTTGTTGTTCTTCTTTTTCTATTTTTTTTACCATGAAAGATTTCATTGAGAAAATAATACGATACATCTTGTAATACAAAACTACGATGGCCGATTGGCCTGTTGAAGAATATGCGAATGTCTATTCGGCTCTGAATGATTTCTATATAGTTATATATACGTTCGAGAAAAACGAAGAACTCGATATGCTACCAATCGGCATTCACCGAGACATTTGTCAATATGAGTGAATATTTTTGTCGGAAGTCAATTGAGCCCGGATAAGGCAGCAGGCGATCATAAAGTTCACTTGTATTGTACGCCAAGATGCATTTGCCTTAGAGCACACAACCGTTGATTGCTTTGTCCTGTATTCCGTTAATGTTTAATCCAATCATAGGTCGATTGTTTATTAATTTCTTAGATTGATTGGTGGATATGAAGGGAATGATATTTATCGAGAGAGAAAAAGACTGGACAATATTTGCCAAGTATACTCATCTTATTAGTCTGAGTGTTTCAAGAATAGAAATAAGTGTGCAATTATTGAGCTAGTTTTTATTTTCAATATCATTTCATGCATATATCATCTAACTCGACATTTTTCTTTAGAAGTTTAGCATGGAAATTTCACGTAACAATGAACTGTAGGTTTATTCTCAGTGAATGGAGAGCATTCTTTCTTTCTGTCTGTCGTCTGTTGTTCCAGATCTGTATGTTGCAGGTTTAATCTGATTATTAAGTCTTGAAAGAATATTAATTTTGAGAACAAAGCTAGTTTAATACAAATTATAATGAATAAAATATCCTAATCTGGTTCAGTTGTTATTTCCTTGGTAATTGAAAGATTTTATGTCGACATTCATTTTTCCACTTCAATGAAAAATATTTATATATTGATTTACCTTGACGTCTATCTAGCTATGTTCTTATAGTGCTTCAGGAAAACATAATATCACTGACGTCAAAACAAATTGAAAATAAAAAAAAACTTAATCAAAACTCAATTACGAATTCCAGAAGTTAGACCTCTAGTATTTATATCGATTACTAAAAACAATAATCCTACAGTACTCATATATATATATATATATATATATACAAATGCGTAGGTTAATCTTTCGAAAGCTGAAGTTGTGTTAATGTATACACTTATTTTGCTTCAATGATCTTCCATTGATAATAGTTTAGAATTTGATTGTTGAACTAGACTGAAAAGTATTAAACTAATACATAATAACAACAAAAAAACAAGCGTATAGATAAATTCATATGAGAATTCATCGTATGAAATGAATAACAAGTATTATTTTCAATGCCTGATTATTGTTGAATATTATTTCGAAAGCCGCTTACGTTCTTTAGAAATCTTACCAGACAAATGCATATGTCGTACCCATTTAATAACAGCTTGAGTTTTAAAAATCGTGATATAATACGCTTGATGACACTGAGGATGTTTTTTTATTTCTCTTATCTTTTTATAATGCTCTCTTCTTCCGGTTGTGGTGTCAGCTACTACCGTTTTCTAGTCACAAATACTTGCGTTGGTGATGTCATGAATTTATTTTAGTCGCTGCAAGAATTTTTAAATAATGCTAATATTGCCCCGAAAAACGACTATTCATAATTTTGCTTTCTATATAATTACAAGAATTTGATGGGTTGAAAGAGCCTAATGTAGAATAGATTATAATGTTATTACATTAATTTTTAAATGTTCGATATTTTTGAGTTGTTTACTCTCATTAATCAAATAAAATACTGATTTCAGTTCGTAATTTTTTTTATTGATTTCTATTTTATGGCACTAGGGAAAATGATCTTATCAAATTATTGATAAAAAGAAAAACTTTTTTTGTATTATGACGTTTGACATTATATGCAAATGATTATCGTCTTTGGAGAATCTTCTAAAAGATAATCGGATTTAAAATGTTCATCTTACAAATAAATCAAATAATAATTAGACTTTTACACATTGTTTAAAGTGTATAATTCTTCAAGTAGCTACTTGCTTGTAGTCATTCTTCCCGAAACTTTTCCCATCTCATTAATAAAATTTGTATTATAGTGACATCTACAGATTTCTTATTTGTTTGGTTAGTTTGTTGGATGACTAACGTCAAATGAAACAACCGATTTTTAGGTAGTTAGCAACTGATAATCAATCATTGATTGCAAGACACTTTTGCCCTGCTAAATTATCTTTAGTAAAACATGAGTATTTTTGTACTACGAAAGCATTCATTTTTTCATAAAATTTTTCTTTCCTACTCAAAATACTTAAAATTAAAACTTAAAATACATGATAGGTTTTTGGGGGTATAAGATCACGTGTTCTTGTTTTTTTTAATTTACCTAATCCATCGAAAAAGTTCATGTAAGTCTTTTTCTTTCGTCGTTTATTCATTGTCCATGTTACGTATTGAAATGAAACCATGCTTAGAAGAAGACCAATCGTAAGACGACCAGAGGTTAGTATTTCTATTAATGTAAAATACAAAAAAGAAAAAATAATTTGAATTTTTATTTTGCCTATTTCGCTTTCCAATGATCACAAAATTAAATTTCTTTTAAATATATCGAAATGTTTATTGTAGATAATCATGTCGACTTGGCAGCAACATGTTCTGTCAAATACAGCAAATAATAATTCAAATCAATCGATTAACAATCATAATGTAAATCATCGATCAAGTTCAGTGGAGACGTGTGATAGTCTGGGAGACATTAATCATACATCATCACTATCGGGAGATTTTGGTATGTAACTATAGATCATATCCGTTTTATTATTTATAAGTCTAAAATAGACTTGTATCAGTAGTAAAAATTTGACCTTGAAAAGACGTAGTGAAACATGCCCTGTTTTTCCTCTCGTGTTAGCGAAATCGCGCTTTCAAAACATGATTTCAAATAAAAAATCAGCATTACTTTTTAATATTGTGAAACTATTAACAAAATAAATCAGATTCTTCTTTCGGAAGTTTGATCGTCATATAAGATATCTGACAGGCTTCACTACTTAATAATTGTATTGCCGAATCTATAAGTCTTCAAAATATGTTGATGTAAAATTTTTGAATTCATACGAAGTTTTCTAGAAGTCAATATTCATATTTTTAATTAGTCAATAACGAACTTGAATCTAGACTGATCGACGTTTTCATAAGATCGTTCACTCTAGCACAGGCTAATAATGTTAATTGAGAGGAACATTGTCAAATTAAAATATCACGCAAAAATGAACTTCCGATTGAATCAGAAGTCATATTGAATTTAACATAAAGCTTCCTGAGTTTCCTGTACAATAAAACTAATGCAGAGAATTTTAAAAAACACAGACCTTCAAAATGAAATTTAGCAATGGAAAATTACTTTGACGTTCTATCGCACATAAAGTGCATTTGATTACGTGCATCTGTTCATTTTAATAGATTAGAAACTTGTGACGAAATGTTTTCTTTATAGGTAATCTCTTCAATCAGTCTGATTACAGTGACATTGAATTAATTGTTGAGTCGGAACGTTTTTATGCTCATCGTATTATTTTAGCAGCACGTTCAGACTATTTTCGTGCATTACTTTTTGGTGGTTTACGTGAATCTCAAAATGATAATCATACAATTGAAATCAAAGAATGCAAATCAGCAGCATTTAAAATTCTTTTAGAATATATTTATACAGCACAGATTAATTTACTGAAAGAGAAAGTAAACGTTTCCATTTGATTTTTTATGATAATCATATTTTTTTTTTGCTTCGTAAAGGAAGAAATTTTACTTGATCTACTTGGTCTTGTACATCAATATGGTTTTCAGCAATTAGAAAATAGTCTATCAATCTATTTAAAATCAATATTATCTTTAAAAAATGTTTGTACTATTTACGATACAGCTTGTCTTTTTAATTTAAAAAATCTAAAACAACATTCAGCTCAATTTATTGATAATAATGCTGATGAAATTATTAAAACAAATGAATTTGTTTCATTATCATCGGTAAGTTGATTTCTTAACATTTATGATTGAAATCTGGTCCAATCATACAGTGTATGGATTCGAGAACAGTGATTGGACAAAGAACAGGTCCACTTGTTATTCGACCTTTGATAACCGTAGGAGGCAACAGACGATTTTGTAAATCGTTCGTTAATGTTGGAAATGACCATTCAACACCAGGCGTACGAATTTGTTGTAAAATGTTTTCACTGTTACATAATAAAGGAAAATTTTTCTCACAATGACACTGAGTTGTATCGATAGAAACATGAATAATATGATCGAAATCAGGTACTGAATGAATTTCATGTGCGAAATACATATGTTGAAAGGGTTTTGTATCACCCGATGATGACATATCCCGTGGATACGAAAGATAGCGTAAATCAGGATACGATGGAACTGATGTAGATTCATTTAGATAAACAGCTGTAGTTAATTCTCGAACTGTTAATGTACCTAGAGCAATTGGAATACGTTCATAAGGTGTATCAAATGAACCATTATAAATTGAACCCTTTAATTCAGTTAATGTTTGCAATAAAAGATCGTTTAATGAAAATTCAGGTGGAGGCGTAATTGTATATTCATATTGAATGAGAGGATCTCGAGGAGGATAAGGTATTGGAATAGGTTGTGCGACAGGTTCTGTATTAAAGCAAGACAATGGAGTTAGTAGACCATTGAGAACGATTTGAAAGTTATGTGGAGAATCGGCTCCAAATTCAGGTACATGATGAGAAAACCATGCTTGAATAGGACCCTCAGTTGCATTTGTATTCCACGGAAGTATGAGCCAACCATGAACTGCCATACGACCGCCTGGCGGAATAGGAACTGGATATTGAGCATTTGCCCTTAATGTTGAAATCGCGATAATCACCAAAACAAATATATTCTTCAATATCATATTGATGGAATAGCTTGCTCTTTTGATACTCTTGTTCTTGATATATATATATATGTAATATATATTCAGCTGTAACAGATAAGAAATTAAAATGCATTGTCATATTTTAGGAAGCATTTTCATCAATAATCGCGCGTGATTCATTTTATTGCTCAGAAATCGAAATATTTTATGCGGTTAAACGATGGCATGAATATCATCGTCAACAGGAAAATGATGAAGATTTTAAACCACATGATGATGTTGTATCGAAAGTACGTTTAACGTTGATGTCAATGAATGAATTGTTAAAAATAGTACGCTATTCAAATTTATTCGATCTTAATATTTTAATCGATGCAATTGATTCAATTAATGATGAAACAAAACCAGCTGTAAATAACAGTGATGATGTTTCAAACTCATCAGGAAGTAATAAAAATTTATTCGTACGAGGAAAGCAATATCGTGGAAGATTGAGTAAGAATATTTCAAAAACATATTTTGATTTTCGCATATTTTATAATTTATTATTTGATAGGATTGGATGAAAATATTGCTACAAAATCACATCATGCTCAAGTTACTGAAGGTAAAACTATAAAAAAAATCAGTGCTAACAATAAATGTTGATTTTAATGAAATATTTTCGAGAGGTACAGAAATCGAAAAAAGCGAACCTCTTTTTGTAAGGAGATGGTAGAAGTCGTTCTTCAGTCCAGACTACTCGAATAGAAAATTTTTGTATGATATGTGTTAATAAGAAAATGAACGACAAGCAGAACAATGTTACTGGAAACTTCTTTGTACGTTTACTTCTAAACTTTATTAAGATTGATCTATCGGAAATTTGGGCTTATCGAGCTCTATTTGCCATGAATATATTTCCTGCACTATTCATTTAGTGACTGATTATCGCCTATATTTGCTTCCGAAACTTTTGTATTATGTATTCAGTATTAAGATTGATAGCTTGTTTTCGTAGGAGAAATGAAGCACGCTCTACTTGATGGTGATGCAACTAATTATGATCTTGTTCGTATAATTTATATTTCTTTTTTTCCTATAAATTTACCTTCGTTTGCTGATTTAGGATCGCGGTTTTACCAGACATCCAATAGATGATATACATAATATTTGTGTTAAATTAGATGGCCCATCGATTGTGAATCATCTTAAATTATTACTTTGGGATAAAGATGCTCGGTAGGAACATAAATCGGAGGCCGAAATTCTTTTTGAAGAAGCTTTTGACGTATGCTCAACAGTGAACTTACTTTGGCCTACATAAAAACAAAAAAAAACAGAATTTCTTTAGTTAGTTGCTAAATAGGGTACTGATGAATAGGGCGATATCAAGTAACCAATTAACGAGGATGAGTTATTTTTTGCATGGGAGTAAATCAATTCAATTCAAGCTCGGATCGAAATTCTTATAGCTAAAAAATAAACAATATTTATTAATATTAAAAGTCGACTTTTTAATTTTTATCTTCTAGTGCCTATTCATACTATGTTGAAGTATCAGCTGATGATATAACATGGACACGTATTATTGATTATCGTGCATATTTATGTCGTTCATGGCAAAAATTATATTTTTCACCTGTTGTTGCAACGTATATGATTAAAATTGTTGATTTGTTCCATATAAAAATATAATAATAATTTTCTTTAGATCAATTCGTATTGTTGGAACACATAATACTGTAAATAAAGTATTTCATCTAGTTTCAATGGAAATTTACTATATTCAAAAACCATTTGCACTCGTGGGAGATATACTTGGTACGAGATTAAGAAAATGTAAACAACTATATGATGTTTTTTTGTTTTTTTTATAAATTCAGCTCCAGTACAAAATGTTGCAACGTTAGAAGCAAGTGCTATTGTATCAGAAGGTGTTAGCCGAGTACGAAATGCACTAATCAATGGGGATTATCTCTCGTATGATTGGGATTCAGGTAGAAATTAATACAAATTTGAAAAATTGATTTTGCGTATACAAGAAAACTTTTCCTTAATTTAGGATATACATGTCATCAACTTGGTTCGGGTGGAATTGTTATACAACTATGTCAACCATATGTTGTCAGCTCAATGAGGTAAATAGATTTCGATTTCAAGAGCGAAACAACAAATGATTATAATATCATCAATGAGATTAGACACAGAAGTATGTTTGTAATTGCTTGGTAATTTATATAGCAATTTCGCTAATCAACATGATCGTAATCAAATAGTCATTAGAAGACTTCTTGTTACGTATAGAACAGTTTGACATTCGCTAACAATTGCGTACGAAAAGATTTCTATCTTTGCACCTATTTTAAATCGCATACAGTCTCCATGAAATATAAAATTTAGCGCCTGAATTGCATAATTCTTTAACTTATTATTAGTTGTGAAGTCAAAGCTAATTCTATTTGGTTTTCCATTAGTTACACCATGAAAACTATCGAAGCAATCGAGGAACTCATTATGATTTTATAGTCGCAGCTCTATTTTTAGAAAAGAAATAAATAAAAACGGTTTAAACTTTCATCGCAGTAGGCCTCGCGGAATGGTTTCGAATTAAAATTAATCTTATAAACAACTAATTACTAAAATGCAGCATCTCCTTATGAACTCTCTTCTAAAAGATAATATTTATTGTCGTTAAAGTAAAATAATATTTTATTCCTATTAGATTATTATTATGGGATTGTGATAATCGTTCGTATTCTTATTACATTGAAACGTCCTATGATAATATTACATGGTCAAAAGCTGTTGATAAGCAAAATACTGCTTGCAGGTACGAGTTTCTTGCGAAACATATAGTTCATTAAAATGACAACGTCTGTTCTCTAGATCGTGGGAAATCTTAACATTTGCTCCTCGCATTGTTGTTTTTATTCGTATATGTGGTACGCATAATACAGCTAATGAAGTATTTCATTGTGTACATTTTGAATGTCCATGTCGGCCTGATATACTTAAATCTTATATGAATGAACAAACATCTATATTAACAACTGATGAACATGAAGAAAATAGTGTAACATATGATGAATATTGTAAATCATTAGAACCTCTACTTGAGATATCAACTTGCAATTCCTCATCAACAGCAGATAACGGTTCATTAGTGCAAACACATATATCACTACCCTTTATGATAAAGTCCGATTCGGCAGGAATATATCCAAGTGAACAGGAAAACGATGAAAACAATAAATAAAATAAAAATACCATAATTCTTTTATTAGAATAATTTTTCAATATTGATGCAAACACTGATTAAAATGAGATACGTTGACTAGTTCTTATATATTGTTTAAATTTTATTTATTTATTTAAAGAAATGATCTGTGGTCTCTTTTCTTTTCCCATGTTATTTAAATAAAAATCAATTTAATTTTCTACTCCATAGAACACGGAATGACTAATGAAATCTCTTTTCACTGGCTTTGACATATTATATGGTTCAATATCATTTGTTTTAAATGTGAAACCAGTCCACATTTTATTTTCTTGTGTATCTCGACGTTGCGGAGCTTTTTGTACTGCAGCCAATGCTTGACGAGCATAATCAGTTTGTATTACACCAGCATCACGTAAACGTTGTTCAAGACGAACACGAATATCGCCACATAATTTACGATCTTTAAATGTATTGATAGGAAATAACTCTTGTTGAATATTAATATCTTCATTTGCATTTATCAACAAACCACGATGAGCATTGTAGGCCTACAAAAATATTTTTCTTGACGTTAGTTGGCTGATTAAAAGTTTTTATTCAGTGTAGAATTATTAAATGGGATTTGTGTAAAAGTAAAACTATAGGATAGACGTATCTAGGATCATTCGTTTCAATGAAACAAAAATTCTGATCAGTGGGAATGTGTTCGCATTGTGAGGCGTGTTGTCAAGATAAGAATAGCTGATGCCTGTAGGACCCAATTACATTCCTATGCAATGTTAACATGAAATTTGTGAATATTAAAAAACAATTCCAAACAAATGACTGAAATGAGATTTGCTTCATTTAGCTAAACTGCTCCTTGAGCTAATAACATCTTCTTACGTGTATAGTCGTAGAAAGACTTATGCTACATTTGTTTTTACTGAATGCTCTATTATCGCGACAAGATAGTTAGACCCGATCGATGAAAGTAGATAAATTATTGGTGATAATTAATTAGTTTCGTATTTACTTTCGTTGGTTGCAATACACGAGCGTGATCTATTTCAACATGAGGTCGAACGCGTTCAGCAAGTGCTTGAAGACGTTCTTCTCTTTCAAGTTCTTCACGTTCTTCAATTTGATTGCGTTCTAACAATTCTTGACGTTTTCGTTCATATTCTTCTTTACGAAATTTAATACGTTCCCGATCTTTACGATGTTGTTCAGCAAGGACATATTGCATTTCTTCTAGACGCTTTTGTTCTGTTTCATGTTCCATTAATCGAACTTCTTCTTTTTTTGAATAGTATTCAGCAAGCTAAATTTTGGTGTATTATGAAATCAGAAATAAAAATAGATTAATAAAAATCTACTAACCTTTTCTTTCGTTTGTTGACGTTGTTTAAGTGATCGTTCATTTTCTTGTCGCATTTTTTCAAGTTCGGCTTGTCGTTTTGATTCTTCGAGTTTTCGACGAACTTCTAATACTTCAAGTTGTTTTTCTCTCCATTTTTTAACCTGTATACAACAATGATAGACTTTGAAAACATTAAAAAAAAAAGTAATATTCTACTTGATTTGTTAATTGCTCACAAAAAGCACGTTGCCTCAATTTTTCTTCATGTTGCTGTGCTAAACGTTCTTGCAATTCAAATGCTTCTTCAAATACTAATTGAGTTTTTACTTTTAATGATACACGAGCTTGTCTCCTATATTGAATACAAACAAGAATAAGTCGATTGGAAACAAAAAGCATTGTCTCAGTACCATTCGATTAAAATAAAACGTTTATGTTTAAGATAATACGATTGAGCGTTGCACCATTCTTCATGATTGAGCTATGTTTAACAAAACATTAAAAGTAAAGAACAATGAAAGAATTTTATTTTATTACCATTTCTTGTCTTGATCGTTTTGGAAAGTATCGGTGAAAATGATTATATATACAAGTTCGACGCTTTTTCAAATCAACGGGATATATTTCATATAAATGAACTAACATTTCATGTTCACTAATATCCCAACCACCATTTTCGTCACTAAATAGGTCTTGTTTTTTTTTTCAAAAAGAAAAACAATATGGAAAATTTTCTTACCTGATGACATCAACATAATTAGTGTCGAGATCAACGAGAGTTTCTCGATATTTATGATCGATAATTAGAAATTCTTGCAGCATTGTTACTCGTAATTCATCGTCTGGACAAGGTAATTCCAGAACTGATTCTGGTATTCCTTCTTCTATCATATTGATTTCATCGTCTTCATCAATATAAATTTTAACTATGCAATGAAAACAAAAATAATTTTCAATCAAGGCCTTTCGTTAAGGTTCTTCTAACAACAACATATAGAACAAATACAAACGACTGAGTTTAGTGCATTGAAGATAAACTCAGAAGGGTTTCACGAAATATTTCCTCTATCAGGCGGCTTTACATTGTAAAACTTCGCCTAGAAATCTACAACAACAAATATCTGTTCCGATAGAAAACAAGTCGGTTTTTAGCTTTAGCCTGAAAATAGAGATATTTCGATAATTACATGCTTTTAATTCGTCTTCGATTTGCCGTTCTTCATGATCAAGTAACAGGATTAATTCATTTTGCTCTTTTTTTACTATTTGAAGTGCATCCATGACATTGAAAACATTATCAGAGTTGATGTTCTTCGATTCTAATTCTTCTCTAAATAGATGAAACATTATTTATATTATTGTAAAAAATAAAACACTCAACAAACTTTAATTGCATCATTGGTAAAACGGTAGTCTTTCGAAATTTTATAGTATTTTCTTCGAGCCATATTCTATATTTAGTTATTTCATGAAATAATGACAATAAATCTGGGTCATTAAATGCATCTGCAAGCCATGTTTGATGTTCATTGTCATATTTTCTATATTGTTGATTTAATTTTTGTTGTTCATTGAGCCAGCAATCACGAGAGATTTTCAATTCAGCTTGTTCCCGCATGGCATGACTTTCATTTTGTAATTTCGAGACTATAATTAGAAATAAAATAAATATCCTCTAATAACTCCCGTATGATTAAATGTTATGACTTTTTTATGATGACAATACACACATATATGTATATTTCTCTTCCAAAGGCGTTCTTTTATGTATTTCGAGGAGGTGAAGAGAGAGAATTCTTACTTCGCTCTAATGCTTGTGTTCCACAGATTTTTCTTTCATTAATAAGATCTCGCATGGCAGCATAATTAACTTGTCGATATTTTGGAATGTTTTCATCTGTGATACGAGCGACTTCAGTGAGACCTATGAGTAGAGAATAGTTTTTTTTTAGATAGATTTTATTGAAAGATAAATCATGTTCATCCTACTATTTTCTCGTGTACGATGAAGTTTATCTAACCGAATAAGATTTTTATTTGGTGACATCATTAAGTTAATGTTATCCCATATGGAAAATGAAAAAATATGGCTAGGTCAATCGTGTTGTTGCTTAGAAACCAGCAGACTAACCAATAAAAATTTTCTTTCGAGAGGCGTCATACAAAGACGTGAGAATTAATTATTTTAAAACAAAATTTTTCATGTATTTACGCTTATGTAAAAAAAGGTTTGTCGATAATTGATTAATAAAAAAAAACAAATCAACGTAATGAAGCAAGACGATTAAATCGAGTACGAAAAATTCTTTATTTAATATCTCCAGCTTACTTACGAAACTTCAATTTAATCTCAACGTGAAGGTTATTCCCTAATTGACTCATAGGTCAAAGAACAATGATACGCACGCTTGACTCCAACTAGCATTAAGATTATTCTTGTTCATTTACCAAAGTCTTTGTTTAATTAGATGATGTTTTCTTTCTTCTTGTCTATGAAATAACAAGTCCAGGCATATAAATGTCTATTTTATTCTTCTGTAAAATAGTATGTTTCTTTTTTTCTCTCGCTCTTTCTCTCTGATAATTGAGGGGAAAATGTGTGAACGAATGTGCTTTTCGGCTTCGATAAAATATGATTTGATTGGTTTTGTTTACCTATTCATTTGATGTAAAAGGTGAGAGATAGAGAGACAGAGAAGAGAAAAACGAAAGGCGAGAAAAATCAATCTTTCTGATATGCACACGGTCATGCACACAGTAGTGTCGATCGTGTAAAACTAATGACAAACGTCACTGTCGACTATCGCAACCATTGGAATTGTCAATATCATCGACATAGTTATTTTTATCAACAAAAATTCGACGATTTCGTTAATTTTATCTTTCTGAATCGGTATTTTTTTCTTAAATGTAAATTAATCGGTAATCAATCATTTTTGAGAAATTCAGTATTTTAGTTCAATTAAATTGGTTTCCTTATTTTGCTTTGTTTATTCATTTAAACAGGTCATTGATCATAATGGTGAAAAATTTTACAGGACGTAAAACAAGTTTTATACCATTTCGACGTACAAAACCAGGCATCGGTGCAGCAAATCATACAACAACAAATGGTCGATCAACAGTTACTCGTCATCTCACACAATATGCATTTGGTGCTTGTTTATCAGGCACTCTTGTGCATTTTTCTGATCCAACGTAAGATAACAGTAGAACTATTTAATAGATTTCTGTTGAAACTTTCATTTTATCTAGATCACCTGTTCAATTAAATGTTTTTACTTATGATGAAAATTCATATACAGAAGGAAAATATAAAAAAGTCGATGAAATCCCAAATTCATCTCTAACATCAGCTGCTCCGATGTTATGTACGTATAACACTCACGTAGAAATAGATTGATAATAGTCATTGATTAATTTTCGATACAGAGAACAAAAAGAAAAGAAACATTTCGTACACTCACCCCACATTTGCACTAGTCGATATTTTATTTACTTATTATGACCTATTTATGTTAGATCGTTACCTACTCAACAGTAACAACAAAACAAATAAAAAGCATTTTCAACTAGTTCTTTGTGATATGTCAGAATTTTGAAAATATCAATCTCTCCTTAGGGCAAATATAAATCTATAATCTACGAAGGTGTTTTTGTTAGATATCATAGAAAATTTTTCATTCAAAAAAAAAAGAAATTACATCGATTATTGTTGACAAGAAAAAACGAGGGAAGATCAATCGGTCTTCGAATTCATTCGATTAATAAATAAATCGAAAACGCCCAGTTGAGAGATAGACTAGATAGATAAATTTCTTCGTTCTTTTGTATTTTGTCGATATATATATATCGATGTACGAATATATCTGATATACTTAAAATGAATGATAGATAACCAACAAGTATTGGTCAAATATATAATCTCATTTCGTTTGATTTCTTTTGTTATACAATCTAAACCATTCAAATCTTCTTTTTTTTTCAATACTATTTGATCTTTTAAAAAATGTTTTTAACGGAACAAAATCCGATAGCTTCTCATTCGTATTTGCTTTCATAATGCGTCGAGATTTCGAACACACCTAAGAGCATATCATTTTACGCGAGTAAAATATCAGTAATGGCATACAGAACGAAAGATCAGCTGAGTGCACGGACTATGAATTATAATGTTCGTAAGATACGATGCAAATGTACGATGTTTATCTCTTAGATAACGCTTGATGATGCACCTAGACGTTTAAAATAAATATCGATTGTACTTTTCAGGGATAGATGTTGACGGTGTACATCAACGTGACATCATAGCACAGATCGGTAACCGTTATGATATTCATGCACTTGTTCAAACAGATATAACAACAACCGAACAACGAACAAAATTAGATGTGCTTGATGATGCGTTATTTCTTGTATGTAAATTAATATTTCGTGATATTGGTCGTACAGGTCATACAGTTATTGAACAAATTAGTTTCTATTTTAAAGAAAATCTACTGATTACATTTCAAGAAACGCCAAAAGATTTATTTGATTCAATAAAAAGTACGACTATTTTCTTCAATCTTGTATCGTGCAATTAATTTGTATTTTTCTTGAAAAGATCGAATTCGACAAGGAAAAGGTCGTATACGAAGATCGAAAATTGATTATCTTTTCTATTCACTTGTGGATGTTATTGTTGATCACTATATGGATGTACTTGATACAATGGGAACAAAAGTTGAATCCATTGATAATCAACTAATGAAAACACTTAAACGTGATACATTAGAATCTATATATGATATGAAACGTGATATGTTATATTTACGCGCAATAATATCTCCGTTAAAAGAAATAATAATTAAATTACAAAAAGAAGAAGAAACACAAATTATGCAAGAAAGTACAAATATTTATTTAAAAGATTTATTTGATCATGTTGTACAAGTTAATGACTCTATAGATACATATAGGGAAATGTTAGCATCGTTTATTGATTTTTATATGATGCTTAATTCAAATGCTATGAATGAAGTTGTTAAAACATTAACAATCATATCAACGATATTTATTCCGTTAACTTTTATTAGTGGAGTTTATGGCATGGTAAAGAGAATTATTTTATTGATAGATACATTTTTCACTGTCCTCTTTTTTGTTTCTAGAATTTTGACATTATGCCTGAACTTAGATATAAATATGGTTATTATATTGTTTTAACTGTTATGGCTAGTCTTGCTATGTTTATGCTTGCGTGTTTTAAACGCAAACGTTGGTTTTAAGTCTGCTGCGTCTTTCCTGATAGTTGTTTGCTTCGTTTGTGTGTGTTCTTCTCATAATATTATGTTCCCGGTATGAGAATATCTGTTAACTCTTTCGTTATTGTACATTCAAAAACGAATACTTTTATGCTCGCTTCTTTCTTTCTTCTTGTCATTATGATGCACACAAAAGATAGACAGATTTTTCTTTATTCAAGAAAAAAAGTACCTTAAGAGATACTTTTTCGTTTGCCGTCGCATGAATTTGTTTCTACTACTAATGATGTATCCATTGGAATTCTATTGTATAATTCTTGGTTTGTTTTTCTCTCTTCAAAGAATAAGTCTTTTGATCAGTCAGCATCTACCTTTAATTTCTATTCTTCATATTGGTTTTTGATTATAGTGAGCGTTTATCATACCTACCATAGTACGTGTCTTCATGTATTTCTTCATAGGCTCAATGATGTAAACGGAATGCATAACGAAAATAAAACCTATGCAATGACACTGAATGTTATCATTTTGTATCAGTGCATGTTAAGTTCTATGAATATTTCGATCTTATTTTTTACAATTACAAGCAATCTTTTCTCTTATATTCATTTGGCTACTAGTAATAACTAGATATCACTTTAGTCAAGCATCGATAATCCTCAATCTTCGAATGTTTCCACTTTTTTGTTATCAATGTTTTATACTGCTTTATCGTCTTCAGTCTCCATAAAAAACGCATAAGCGTACCTTTAATATACCTATATTCAACAATTCACTATGCAAATTTACCTTGAAGATGAATAGCGATTTGATAGTTTATCTCAAGCTTCATTTTAGCCGAAATTCCCGATATACGTTAATATGGATTTAATAAAAAACAGATTAATTCTCGCATATGAAATAGCGAATATTTCATTAATTATCAACATTACTGTATTCGAAATTATATCTTATTTGACATTTACTGATTGTGAAAGAAGTGTTGCTTGTTCGAAAGAGGGCCGGACAACATCCCCCAAAATCGAGAAACTGTCTCATTTACAGCAGAAATCGTTTACCCACAAAAAGTCAAGACGAAACACTTCATTAGGAACATATCTCCTTCTAAGCAGAACTTCACCAAAAACAGAGAGACATGGATCATCTCCTTATCGACTCTCAGACAAAATTCTACCAGAAACGGTACTAGACCAGCGAGAATGGTAATATTTTAAGAAGAAATAGTTGAACCGTTTCTCCTCTTCCAACGAGAAATAGATAAGATAGTAGGAGATATTGATAATTTTCTTTTCGTCTTATAGGGAAGTTTTGTAGGAGAAAGAATATTTTTGTTTCTCGTAAAAGATACGTTCAGGTGTACGTTTTTATCCAAACGAATGGTATAAATTCTTATGATACCGAATAACTTTGGGTCGTATGCCCATGTTGTATAGAACGACCCTAAACGACTAGAAGCGGCAGCCGTTACGATGATCAGCGACGAAGTATCGGAAAATGATGTGATACGGCGAAAAACGGTGACCTTTTAGGTGACGGTTTCCGTGTTATCGGACACGACTACCTTCTAAGGCGAACGTTTTTTATCGTTTTACATCTCTGTTATTTGGAGATATAAATATCCATAATCCACTCCCCCCCCCTCTCCGATAACTCCCCGCAAAATAACGAGACCCCTGGGGAGTTCCTGTCGTGAGTCCCCCGGGGACTTTTTATTTGCGGAACTCCCTGAGAATTTTTCTAGGGAGAGTTGACTAGGGATGGATAAAATATATAGTTACTTAGACACTATCGTTCAACTTATTTTATTTCATTTTCTTTTCTTTTCTTTTCTTTTTTGGATTCCTTTATTTATTCTATTTTATTTTTTTTATTTCATTTACTGTATTTTTATTGTATATTTTATTTATTTATTTTATATTGTTGCATTTTACTTCTTTTATTTTATTTATTATTTATTTCATTATATTTATTTTTTTATTTTGTTTTATTTATTTTAATCTTTGTATTATTTCAGTGTTTTTTATTCTTTTCCGATGTTTTTTTTGTGTTATTTCATGCTATTTTGTGTGTAGACGTTTCTTTTTAAAATAAATATATAATAATAAGATTAAATTAAATGTTTAAAAAGTATAAACGATCAACGGCGTCGTTTTTCATCTTTTAGGGCATTATTTGCGCCGTTTGCTACCCGTTCCAGGCAGTTTAATGCCATCTTTCAGACGGTCTGAATGATGAACCTGGGCAGCTATGTTATAATTGAAACCGACAATGATACAATAAACAGGATACATTATCTGTATAGTAAAGTATTGGTGTCTAAATAATTTATTTTCTGAAGAACAATATATACACAGTGTAGGATGAGCGCATAAAGAAATGTAATAGATCTCCTCTTATGTTAGTAAGATTAATACAATATGTTAACCAAAATATCCAAACAATGGATTTGAAATGTTCACCTTTACAAAATAAAAATATGTTGACCTCTACGTTGCAGCTTACTGAATCATTGGAACATGTTTAATTATATGGACTCTACCAAGTAGAACTATGGTCAAAACGTCATGCTAACAGGTTTAATTCCTTCTTGTGAAAAGCATTTCCCTATATAGTTTAACAATTTCTGTTTGAATTAAATATTATTGTCGTTGAAAAAGGAAAGTGATATATGTATACATGATTTCTTTTTTTTCCATTTCTCCTTGCTATCCGTAATTTTTTATGGGTGATTCATTTCTGCTTAAACTGGAACAATTTCTCGATCGATTGGTACTGTTGTCCACTACTGAATATTTTGTAAATTATCCCAACTTTTAATCAAGTAAATTTTTCATCCACTTTTTAACTTCCATCTTACTTTAGTATTCCCAGGTCGAGCATTACGGTTACCAGAAACGGTCGTATACGACCGTAAACGTTAACGTGTACTGCCGTTTCCTGCCATTTCTCACCGTAAATGGCCGTAACTTGACGTTTTGGCATGCACCGTATTACGGCCGTAATTAATCGTGCCGTAAACGGTTACTAACGACCGTAATGTGGTCGGATATTTCCGTATCCGATCGTTTATGGCGCGATACAAAACGACCGTAATACGGTGCATACCAAACGGCCGTGTACGACACAAGTTGATCGACCTGAGTTTGCACAATGTATTTGAATGATAAAAACAAATGCACATACAGATGAATTTAGTGTTTTTCTCAAAATCTAACTTAAATAATAATCAATATGTTTTAGAAAGTATAGAAAACTCTCTCTATGCTATATCTCATGCAGATTCAACAATGGTTCAACTATATATTTTGTCTTGATTCTGTTCAAACAGGTAGTTTCTATGGAGAATATTAATGAAAGCTTTCTTGAAATTGAAAAAGGAAACACTCTCGTTCAAACTCTAGTTATACCAATAAGTAGCTTTTAACAAGAAGTACATTTTTATCATAACGATTCAATAGATTTCGAAATAATTTTATCTACCCTTTTAAATCCCGATGAATTGTGCCTCAGCAAAGGTTGTGAATGTCTGGAGCAGAATAATCAGTCAAACCCTCACCCACCCACCGACTCATCATAAATTCATAAACCCACAATTTTTGATAAGGATTCTTTTATTTAATCACCGATAGCATGTGACATCAAAAGAAAAAGAAAATTTTTACCTTCTATGCTATTCGCTCCGAATGGATGGAAAAAGGAAGAAAGGAAAAATGTCAAAAACAAGAATATGAGATGAACATGACCATGTAAGATTGAATTGAGGGTGAGGGAGACTTGTACTTCAGTATACTCTCGTTTTCAGCATTTCTATTCATCTGCATGTGTATTAATTTTGTTTTCGATATTTTTATTTTCGACATTTTTTTCCTTTCGATATTTTTCCTTTCTTCATTTTTCCATCATACCTTCGCTCCTTATTAGTGGCGCTTGGAAGTTGCCAACAATGCACGATAATTTTTCGAGTGCGCGATGTTATTTCCAACATAAAACAGTTCTTGGGTATTTATATGCTCCCAGTCAATTATTAATCGTAATAACATCTATGGAGAAAGCATCCGTTTCTATTTATTGATTAGTTTCAAAAGAGTTGAAATACAACTGTAGATCGCTCAAGTGAGATTCGTAAGTGTCAGTATATTTCAGGAGTATTAAAAGCGAGTAATGATATGAAAATGAGCACCTCTGTAGCCGATTATTAATCAAGTGGTTTCAAAACAGATACAAACTACTCTTTGCCACATTTCAGATTATATTTTTGCATTATTTTTTTAAAGAAAAAGACGTTAGTAGCGTTGCCAGTGCTCACTTTTATGACTGTCAGGATAAAGATGATGATTTTCATTGTGTTTATAATTGATAAGAAACTTGGCATCAAGCATTTCGATCTAAATCATAGAATTGATCTTGGTGTACCAATTAAAATAGTTTATGATAACTGGTAGCTGGTAGACCACGTACACTATTAAGATCAGTAACCATTAATTAGTCTGTTCTATATAATTATCTACTATTTTTAGAATTCTACAATAGAGATACCATTTTTTTTATACTCTTAAAAATTCTAGTTGTAGAATATTTTAGACCAAAAATGGATGTAGGTGCATTACATGCTGAAAATCCAAACCATTTAATTATTTGGCTGGATCAACATATTGGACAACCTGAATGGTGTCAGCAATTGAAAAGAGCATTTTCAACTCAAACTGATCCAAGATGTGAGACCCTAGTGAGCCTGTCAGACAAGGACTACGATGGAATGCTTCTTGAAGGAAGTGCTTGGCCAATAGATTTCGAGGGTGTTAGTTATTTAATGGAAGTATTCACCGATATTGACAGGTGTATACACTGTTTCGAACGTAACAGGGATAGGCGAATTTTTCTTATTGCATCAGAAACACTGGGGAAAGTGGTTGTACCAATAATTTTAGAAAGATTTCAAGATATGTTCATTGATCCAGTTACTAATGAACCATACATGTTCATTTATATTTTTTGTCATAATATTGCATATCAAGTTGAATGGGCATTTGACTACTGTGATTATGTTCAAATGTTCAATTTTGATGCAGACTTATTAGCTCGCGTGCTACACGATATTGGCAATTACTATTTTACTGAAGGTAGACGGTTATTAGGTGAAAATCCTCCAAATAATGTAGCAGCTCACTATCGTCTCCGGTGGGCGCGCATTCTATATCAACGACATAATCAAATGGAACACGTGTCAATAAGCCATGAACTTGATGAAATCAATCACCTTCTCGATAATGTAGAAGAAGAAGAATAAAGCTCATTCTCCTATGATAATGATGATGATAATAAACCACAATAACTATGATTCATATAGAACCGTTTTGAAGGAGGCGCATGAACATTGCGTCTTGGCTGTTTGCATGTTTTAATTACTTCCACCTGTATGAAACATGAATTTTAAAAGATCTAGAAATTTTTAGTTTTTATTGGTATTGAACGAAACTAAACTATACAGCTCCTGCATTGCTATAATCAATACTTAGTTCAAGAGGATGTTCTATTGAAAATATTTCTACTTATAGTTGATCTATCTCATAATTATTTCCTTGGGCGATTGCCAGTAATACTTTTGCTCATAAATGTAAAATAAACGATAAAACTGAAGATACTTTGTCTGTCGTGTCGACGAACCAAATAAAATGTGGCAAAATTAGTCATAGTTAATGGGGTTCAAAAGAAATACCAATAGTTTAGGTAAATCTGTGCTTCATTTCGATAACGATAATACAAACAGGAATGTATTATTAAATAACTTTACGAACCATCTGTCTCAACGTTTTTGAGACTCAAATAATGAGCAGAATCATTTTGTAACCGAAAATCAGGATGGGGATAACTGATACTTTCAAAGTGAACTTTCATTCTCACCTGAAAAAGACCATTTGTGAAAATCTATTTGCGCAGTTTAGTGATTTCTTGAGCAGAATCATAGTGGTAATTGTCTAAAATGCTTGATGAAATGATAAATTAGATAGCAGTACTTCTTATTCTATCAAGAGATATTATAATACGTCGTATAAATTTGATGTTCTTACAACGAAACTCATACAACGAAAGGGAATCTTCAAAGACAACAATCTAAACATTTCCTTAGTGCAATACAACGTCTCATATTAATTAATGAACAAGTCCATAATGTCTAATAAACTTCTGCTGTCTTATCAGTCGAAAAATATGGATTATAGAACAGTGTTAATTTATAATTACAGTATATTTTATTTTGAAGAACTTCAGTACTTGTATTGATTGCATGAAACTATTATTATTAAATAATATAAAGTTGCAGTCTAAAACCTTCAAAACAAAAACATAGATTTATCATGTTTTTTTGTCTCTTCAAAAGTTGTTTTAAAAAGTATCTGAAACAAAACGGGTTTACTAGAGTATTTGTTGTAGACGATACGATTTTTTTTAGAGAATGAAACAATATATTTTTCATTTTGGAAGAAAAAAACTTGAGTTACCATCGATGAATATTGAAAAATAGAAAGAAGTCCAATTCTGTTCACACTGCTGTTATTATCAGGTAAACCAGTCATTAATACGAAAAATATGATGACTCATTTCATATATTTGATTTGATTTTGATATGCTATGATGTCAACGAGGTATTGGAGACTTCTGTTGAAGCTATTTGAAACTGAAATGTGGGAGAGTTGACAAAATATTAACAAATATATCAATATTTTTAACATATTGAAAGATTCGATTATATATGTCAGGTTTTTATTTGGGCGGAAGTGAAACCAGTGAGCGGATCTTGCGTTTTGTTTCATTTTATCTAAATACAAGCAACAACTTTCAATAATTAGAATGTTCACTAGAAACCAATGACTTGCTGTACCGAGTAAAATGCCCCATTTTAATATGGACGAGCAATGCTATGTATCTCTAAGGAATCACTGTGGTTTTTAGGCTGCACATTTTTGGAACTATCATGCATTTTGAAATGAATAAAGAGTGAACGTTTGAATTGATAGCGTTCGATCTCTGCATATGAACGAAGAGGATATCGATCATCATTCAGAAGTTTTCTAGAAACTTCCAAATCACTCTAGGATGTGAATCATCTGCAATTGATTCTAGCTAGTAGAAATATTACTGATTTTGCTAGTGACTGCAGCAATTGATTAAACGGCCTTTTGCTGCTTTCTATAAAATGTATCGTACATTTTCTCATCAGTATATATGAAGTTAGAAAAACAAAACACCGATGTGGCGAACCAAAGAAATCGTTTAATGAGCTATTATTAAACCACTATAATGAAACGGTGAATTTGCAATATGAACGTTTTTATAATAAATAAATTTCAGAGCCCGATGAACAACTATAAAAACAATTATTATAGTCTACTTAATTCACTTATTTTGTATAGAGCATTCTCACTGCAGCTCTTTCATAGAGTCACCCACACAATTTTACATGATAGCTTTTCAATGCTTCAATGAATGCCTTTCATACATGAAAAAACACAGGCTGAAAATATGTGTTTCTTTTTCTTTTCAACTCCGATGTATTTCTTTTAGCTATCGCATGATTTGCTTGCAGTAATATTTCGTCTTCGTGAGCAAGAACGAAAAAAAAACAAATTTCACTTTTTTCTTCTATGCAGAGCGCAAAAAAGACGTTATTATCTACGTTAGATTTACTTAACCAAAATTTTCATTCTGACCGGTTTGTGTAATAAATAAACTTTTATTGCGACAACAGCAAAACATTTTAAAACAATGGGAGGCCTTCTTGAAAAGATTGCGATGTCTGCAGATGATAATTTGGAAACATTCACACTTGTTTGGCTCGATGCTTCCGTTAACACAACTGATGAAAATCGTGACGCTCAAAATTTACTTAAAAAAACTATTCATCAGTTAAAAGCGTTTCAAGATCCTCCACAGTGTGAAAAATACATATTAAGTTTGCCGGTGGAAGATCGGGTTGTTTTGATAGTGAGTGGGCAGTTAGGTCGAGAACATTTGCCTAAGTATCACAGTTATCAGCAACTCTTATCGGTATATGTGTATTGTTACAATCAAGAATTAAATGAGCAATGGGCTGTTACATATCCAAAAGTAATAAAAATTACAATCTCATGTTAAATCGTAAGAATATTAATCATTCTTTATTTTATAGATAAAAGCTGTCGTTACAAACTTAAATGAACTTATTGCTCGAATCCAATTTGATCATGAAAAACGACAAGAATCAAGAATTTACGAATCATTACCAATTAGTATCTTCGACCCGCAGATTCCTCATGAGAAACTTACGGCTAATCTTCAAGGTCAACTCGTTCATTCGCAGTTATTAATTAATTGTCTCCTTAGAATGGATTCGGACAAGAATGATAAGCAAAATTTAATCGCCCTAAGCAAAACCGTTTACAGAAAGAATCGAACAGAGTTGAAGGCTATCGATGCTTTTGAACGAGATTATGAGCCGCAGCGGGCTATTTTCTGGTATACGAAAAATTCATTTGTTTCTCGACTATTGAACAAAGCTCTTCGTATTCAAAATATCGATATTCTATTTGTATTTCAATTTTTTATTGTTGATATTCGACGACAGCTGGAAAAATCTCAATGTAAAGCACGGGTAACTGTTTATCGTGGCCAATTAATGTCAAAGAACGAAGTTCAGAAGTTAAAAAGTTCTCTTCACCAATTTATCTCAATCAATTCGTTCCTTTCAGCTACTAAGAATTCCCAAACAGCTATTTCATATCTGCAGAATGCTGATGGCTTAGAAAAAGTATTATTTGAAATTAATGCTGATCCTGCATTTAGCGGCGATAAGCCATTTGCTAACATTCAATCATTCAGTGCCGATCAAGAAGAGGAAACACTTTTCATGTTGGGATCGATTTTTGAAATCGTTGATGTTTCTGTTGTGAATAACGAGATATGGAAAGTTAGATTAAAATTATTTTCTGACAATAATGAACAAATTAATTCGAATCAGATGCAAAATCAGAGTCACACTCAACTTCTTGCATTTGGACATGTGCTGATCACGATGGGGAATGTGCAAGAAGCACAGATATATTACGACCGTTTACTTAAAATACTTCCAAGCAATGATCCAGATCGAGCTCGCTGCTTGGAAGCACTCGCCAGTTTAGCTGATGAAAAAAAGGAATATCAGAAGAGCCTTGAAATATACGAAGAAGTTCTCAAAATAAATAAACATACATACGGCGAACAAAGCTCATATACTGCATCGAATTACAATAGTATAGGAGAAGCATATCGGAAGAAAGGTGATTATGATAAAGCACTCCGGTGTTATGAAGACGCATTGAAAATTTTGGAGCCATATACACAGGGTAAAGAGCTTCTACAAAAGGCTATATCTTTGAATAGTATTGGTATCATTCATCAAGAAAAAAAGCAATATATCGAAGCACTCAAGTATTATGCGAAAGCACATGAAATACGCCTACACTACAAGCCCCGTGATGAAACATCTTTAGGCATGTCTTTAAATAACATTGGCAATGCTCAGTATCTTCTTACACGTTATGACGATGCACTATATTACTATCAAGAAGCTCTTAAAATCTATAAAACTACTCTTCCACCAAACCATCCAAAGGTTGCATCGGTTTATAACAATATAGGTGCCATCTACGACGACAAAAAGAAAATAAATGAAGCCTTAGCTTTTTATATGGACGCTTACAAAATTTATGCTAATATATATTCTGATACGCACCCAAATCTAATCAAAATAAAGGAAAACATCGATCGTCTACAGTCTCAAGCTAAACGTTAGTTTTAGTTTCATTCAGACATAAACATTCTGTACTTTGTTTTACTTATATAAATACATCGATTTATAATAATACGAGCATATTTTCTTTTTTTATTTCAAGATTATTTTCGTTTTCATATACTTATGTACGTATTTATTGTCATCAAGGCTACTAATAACACTGTATTTTACCAATGTGTCGTCTTGTTAGAAAGGCTTGCTTAACAGTCTCCTACAAAAATGTTTTCCACACTTATTAGTAGGCAAGAAATTTTAGAAAGCATCTGCTGGTCAAATGTAAGTGAACAGCAAGTGAAAATGTAGCCTGTAATTTTTCGAAGAATATTTCCTTGCTTTTTTAATGTTTGTATTCTGCAAAAAAGATACTTTTTTTGAAAGCGATGAATATTTACGCAGCAACGACTAAAGAGGAATGTTCAGAGAATCTGTCAATAATTGAATTGAATTGTTAGTTCTTGTCTACGAGTTTTTTCCTATTTGTATAACTTCATTTACATATTTTCAGAATAAAAAGAAACGAATATAAAAACAAAGTTCTATTCATTAAAAATGATAGCATGTCGCTTTCGAATTGTCTACGAACAAGAAATCAAGAATTTCTGAAAAATCTATTTAATTTTTTTCCTTGTCCGAAAATAGCCATTTGATTTTAGAAGAGCAACAAAATACGATTCTCTCAACTTTGGTCGAAAGAAAAATGTCGAAGAAAAATATCTGAAGATAAATATATGGTATGATGGAAAAAGGAAGAAAGGAAAAATGTCGAAAATAAAAATATCGAAACAAAATTAATATACATGCAGATGAATAGAAATGCTGAAAACGAGAGTATATTGAAGTACAAGTCTCCCTCACCCTCAATTCAATCTTACATGGTCATGTTCATCTCATATTCTTGTTTTCGATATTTTTCCCTTTCTTCCTTTTTCCATCCATTCCTGGAGACTGGCTTCCATAAACTATCACCTACGATGGTTTTGCTTATTTAAATGGTGTGCCGTAGAAAGACCGAAAGGAAAAATGTCGAAAGGGGAAAATATCGAAAGGAAAAATATCGAAAATGACCAAAGGAAAAATGTCGAAGGAAAAATATCGAAAGGGAAAAATATCGAAAATTTGCACTAAGATGTTTTTATTCTTGAAATCATAATAGCATCATAGCATAGATCAAAGATAAATAAGAGTTATAAAGAAAAATACACATATCCAATATTTACTAGTTGTTGCTGTTGTATTCAGTTTGAAAATATATTTATCTGATACAAGGAAAGGTTTTCCTTTTTACGACTGAATAAATGAAATAACTGGAGTTGGCGGATGATTCTCACCAGATAAAAATGAGCAAGCTGTAGTCATCATGATAAAATTTTAATCGTTGTATACTATTTTACGCCTATTTTAGCTAGTTTTCATAAGATATTACTTATCAATAGTATCAAGGGTTATCATTGTCAAACCAATGGAATAATCAGATCAACAACAATGAACAATAAACTATTAGAACCTTCATTTAGTAGACGTCGCTTTTTTCTATCTTTTCTGTTTTCGACATTTTTCCTTTTCGATATTTTTCTTTCGACATTTTTCCTTTTCGACATTTTTCTCTTCGACATTTATCCATTCGACATTTTTCCCTTTCGATATTTTTCTTTCGGTGTTTTTCTTTCGGTATTTTCCCTTTCGATATTTTTCCTTTCGGCCTTTCTACGGCCAACCATTTAAATTAGTACTATTTTTTTAATTTTTCGACATTTTTACCTTTCGACATTAGTATAGTGTTTCTTTTCGACTTTATTGCTTCCGACGTTTTTCCTTTCGACCAAAGTTGAGATTACCACAAAATACTATTATAACTCAATTGTTCATTTAGGTTCGTGATTATCCGTAGATTCAAGAGACATGGTATGGACCTTTCAATGTAATGGATTATTTTAGTTGGAATTTCGAAACGAATATGAAAGGCAATGAAATTGTGTAAGACTTCGATATAATCCCATAATATTTTAAGTATTTAAAAAAAACACGTAGAGATTTCATATATGTTATAGTCAATCAGTTATTAGTTTGTAAATCGGTACTTGAAATAATTATTTCGATTAGTGTTAAGATCGCAGAATACACTCGGTGTGTACTACTGTAGTTAAGTATTCAGTGAGATTTCTTCGAAGTGATCTGATCGTATGAACTGAGACGCAGTCTGAAACGTATCAACAGTGCTGGCTGTCTCTATCGAAGGAATCGTCGAATTCCTAGAACGAAATGCTGACTCAAACGTAAATTCGGTGTCTCACATTATTTTGTAACTGCAAGTATTGCGACTATTTCAGTATTGTATTAATAAGAAATCGTATAGTAAATCTGTCAGAATAATTTGTCTGCTAAACATATGTATTAATTCTTTCGTAGAAGAAAATTGCTTTACTTTTGACTAGCTAACAAAAATCAACAAGTTCAAATTGAAATAGATCTGAAGAGAATCAGCTTGCTTTTCTAGAACTTTCAATTATCGTGTCTACACCACTCGCAACCTAATATGGAAGAGTAGGGATGCAATTGCTGTTTCATTGAAAAGTAAAGTTGTGTTACAAAAAGGGATCAAAGCAGATCGGGCAATTACCCTGATTATCTTAAGCAATTTCTTTCTTGAAGAAAGCAATTGAAAGCAGATTAGATACTAGGACTATAACAGTTCGGAAATAGTTCAGTTCAAAAGAACTGTTCGAACAGTTCGTTTGAACTGAACTGAACTGTTCAAGCAGTTCGGTTCAGTTCAGAGGAGCTGTTCAAAATTCCTCTTAACTGAACTGCACTGTTAAAAACAGTTCGTCTGAACTGTTCGAACAGTTCGTTTGAACTGAACTGAACTGCGAACTGTTATAGTCCTATTAGATACACGAGCAATTTATGGGATAAATGTGAGGATTACGTGTGGGTATCTTTATGTAATGGTTCGGAAAAAATTGTTCTCAGAATAATGAACTTTACTTTTATAATGAAATTTAATTTTTTTGACGAAACAAGAACTAGCTAAATGTAAATATTAATTCAATTAATATCTTTTTATTATTGATGAAAACGAACTAGACGTAGAAATTTTCTTTTGATGTTGAATTTTACATGCGAGAAGTTAATTATTTGCAATTTTGTTTTATAAATGGAAACATCTAAATGTTTTTTTTTTAATAACCATGATGAGACATAAGATAAAAAAGAACAAAGTTCACGGCCGTTTTTTATCAGCACTTTGTTGCAGTACATCACCGAGTATCAAAAGGAGAAATAGTTGACGCAGAAAATGACTCGGTTGATGTACAAAGAAGAAACACATAGAAGATTTTTTTTAAATAACAAAAGAAAATTACAATTAGTTTTGTGTTTTGTAATTCAAAATGTAATATCAAAACGAGTAAATTTATTATTTGCTTTGTCGGATGCAGTTTCTTTCTTTTCTGGTTCAGGATATTCACTATATTGATTTGTTATTTGTGTTGTTCGATTATCTATAGTAGATTTTTGTTCAGGTAAACGTGTATTACGTTCATTTACTCGTTTTTGTGCTTTAACTTCTTCAGATGACGGATAGTGATATCGACCATAAGTGTCAGAAAATGGATTATCAGGACTCATATTCAATGAATTTTTGTCTAATGGAGCAGATGAATTCACTTTTTGAGGTTGAGGTTGCGACTGGGTACGTGCAAAAGTCGGAATTGGTGGTGATGATGGTCGTTGTTGTTGACGAGGCGCACTTAAGGGCGAAACATACGATGATTTCTTGAATGAGTCATTCCTCGGGTGCAAATCTGACGAGGGTCTCTGCACCTGAATAGGTCGATAGGAGAGTGGTGCAGGATTATTTCGTATCCAATCAGCAATCGATGTTGCCACTGAATTTGAAGGATTTCCAAAATTATTCGTTGAATATTCTCGAATTAATGATGGCCGATAAGTGCTAAATGGACTATCATCAGATAAATCATGTATTGGAATTAATGGTACGACCGGTCTGGGTGTTTCAGTAATACGTTTTTGTGGATCGACTTGTGATGGATAACGGTAACGTTCATAGCTTGAATGAAATGGATTGTCATCGGATAAACTCAATGATTTATTATCTGTTGAACGTATAGTTGTAGCTTGAGGAGTTATTCTTTTTGATGGATCAACTTGTGTTGGATAATGATAATTACCGTATATAGCATGAAATGGATTTTCATCAGAAAGATTCAATGATTTACTGATACCACTGCCACTTTTGGGTGGTGATACTATTGAAGTTATTTTACGTGGTGAATTTAATTGTCCGTACGAACGAGCTGGATCATAGAAAGGATTTTCACTTGACATCATATTAGTTTTTTCCACAGCACCAGTACCTGTTGTTCCATTATTCTTATACCTAATAGGACTATTAGTTGATGAATAACCAGCGGAATTTATCAAAGCATAACTATTTATAAAGAAGACGAATCTTTTTTTTTATTCCTAAACACAAAAAAAATATATATAATTTACTTATTGGTTACTGATGAACCATAAGATGGCAGCGCTGATCTTTGCTGGCTGATATTCATTTTATCATCTGAGTAGGTAGTTGATGTTGGCGGTTGATAATTTGACTGATAACGATATGATTGTGATGAACTTGATTGGTCAAATGTCAAACTATTACTGTTTCTCGAATTTGATTGATAATCTTGTGTATAGTGTCGAGTTGCGTGCATAGGTAGTAGCTGATTTGAATACAAGATTCTTTCTCCTTTTTTACATAATAAATATGACGTAGTTTTTACCTGCGCATTTCATTCTTTTTAAAATAAACAATGAATAGAAAAACTAAATGAAGAAAAAAATTTGTGCTCTCAGCAAATATTATGTCAACATCGTACACATACATCGCTACGATGGTTGCTATGACTTTTCTTCTTTTCAGATAAAACTAACGGCACTTCTCTTTTGTTTTTTACTGTTCTGTCAATCGCGAGAGTCTCTATCAATGACATTATATCGTAGTGTTTTTCTTTTCTTTTGATCAATCACATAAATATAGTAACAAGTATTTTTTTATTGTCATAAAAATAGATGCTTAGAAAAACAGAACAATACATTCTTTTGAAAAGTGCATTCATGTACTAAAGTTTATCAATCACATGGTTATCAATATTCTCATGGATGTAATTAATTTATGAAAATTTATTGAGTTGATTTAGAAATTCCAATAGTGTAACTGAAACCTTGAAGTGTAAAAATTTTGACTGTCAATAAAGAATAGACGTTGTTTAACCTAGAAATTTCTATATTGCTTGAATTGTGTTCAATAAAATTGAAAAAAAACCAATCAGATCACTGGTTACTTCGAATGAGAATAATGATTTGAAGAAAAAAAAAAATGAGGAAACATCGAATTCGCATCCGATTGTTACGTGTACTGCAAAAGCTGAGTCGATTTATATATGCTTTGAATAATTCTAAAAAGAATTTTCTTTTGAAAAAATCCCTGTACCCCCTCCCCCCTCAGGGATGGTTAGGTCAATAATGATAATTTTTTCGATAACTCAGCCATTTCTTGACGGATCCTTCTCATCTTCGAACTCAACTGAGATATTGATGAGATCATTCTGTATACAAAATTTCAAGACAATTGAATGAGGCTTTCAAGAGTTATCGTGTTAACACGGCCGGACACACTGGCCGAATCTAGAGTGTACTCATTTTTTGAGTACACGAAAAAGATAATATAATTCATGGCAATACAACTAATCGAACCTGGCATAGTTTACAGAAATTTTTCTCGTAATATTTATATTGTATTTTATTTCTTTATTCAAATATATAGAAGGCATAATTAAGATATGCACGGTAAATATTTTTCTAGGGTATAATTAAATTATTAATTGCTGCTTGTTACTACTTTAGAAAATAACATTTTCAACGGTATCTATATTATTCATTCTTTAGTAAACATTCAAGATTTTTGACAACCTTTTTAAACTAATTACTATAATTGATGTTGTTTCAAAAGCTAAGCAGAATCATAGAACGAATGAGTATCTAGGTCAAAACTGTATAATGTGATTTGATACTGTATCGATTACTGGGTACATATGAAGAGGTGTCCGCAATGACAAAGAAGCTTTCGTTAAGTTAGATTTTTTTAAATATTCTCTTGTTTTAAAAAACTGACTCAATAACTAGTGAGTACTGAAAAGTTGTCTTGATAAATAGAATATTTTAGCTAACTTGCAACTGTGCGAAGCCATATTTTTAGCAAACGTTTTTTTCGTGAAAAATGATTAAAGAACTAACCGCTTGTTATACAATTGTGCAAAATGACAAACTTTTCTAATAACGAAAATCATTGATAGATTAATTATGTGGAACAAAATTGTGCATAATTTCAATTTTTTTCTAACTGAATGAGAATACAATAAATTTATATTTCATTGATTGATAAAATCCACCGATAGTATAATATCCGTGCTTTGTGTATTAAATAGTGGTTGATTTTAATAGATTAGCAAGCTATCTGAATTTGAACCAACTGTACTGCGTAACGATCTGCGCGAAGAGAATGTTCACATATTCGAGTATGCCATTAAATTTAGCTTGTTATAGACAAAAACAAAATGAGAATATTGAAGTAAATCAGAGAGATGTGGAAACTATCAGATTATGGTGTAAGTTGATACCGAGAGAAATTATTTCAAATGTAATAAAATATTAGAAAATTTGTCATGTTTTACTGAAAAACTCTTTGAGTTGGCGATGCAGAAATATGAATTCTTTGAAAAACCATGGTGTTAATCTCTTTATAAGTATTTAACTCATTCAATATAAGTATTATCAAGAACCTATACGAGTTATATAACCCGGCTAGTCCTTGAATTGTTCTTCTTATATGCGAAGTGCAGTCAATAACATGTATAGATTTATCTTTATTTACCAGGCAATATTTATAAAATCTGAAATCTGTCAACAGTTAGATAGTGCGAGAAAAAAGTTAGGCCTCAAACTAGGTTCTCATCACTAGCCAATTGTTGAATCATAGCCTCATTGACCTTTACTCAAAATTCCATATTCTTAATAGACTATAGAACAATGGTTCTTTATCGATTGAAAATATGGATATCTATAATATGTAATTCGCAGATTTTATTTACCTAGCATTGTCAATAACAATGGAAAATGTATTTCGTATTATTCTCATCATGTGAAAACTAAAATAGAATTTGTTTGTGTAGTTACGCGTGTGAAATAATGCTGATTCATGTAAGAGTAACTTTGGATTTTCGAGTACGCCACACATCTTGAGGGTGTAAAATGTCGGTACGAGCTAATAATAAACCCAAACAGTTTTGTTATCGTAGCTGTCAGTCTTTTCTGTACGTTTCTTCAACCATCCATGGCAGTTTCTTTCACCTGATATGGCTTTGTTTTCTATGCTGTTGAATGCATAGATGTGCTTCATCAAAATACTCTAGTTTAGTGATTAAATAATTCTAATGATTTGTTACCATTTACTGAAATATAAACTTTTCTGATGGTATAGTTTTGAATAAAACTACTCATAAATCGATATCAAGAAACCGTCTAAATGATTTTTTTTCTTTTTTTTTATCGACAAACATTATTTTTGCATTTACTCATTTCTATTGTAATTATCATTCAGCACACTCGCCTAAATTTATCTTCAATTTAGAGGAATTGTGCAGCGGGGTCCTATCATGATGGCGCCTATCCATACAAAAACGTGTGCCGATTATTTGCATCATGCACAGACACAAAGTTTTACAGAAAAGCCAAGCTATATTCTAAGACTGTTAACGGGTTTTTATCAATTTCAACTCATGATTCAGGATATTTAAATGAGAAAGATACTTCATTTCGTAAGAAATCACGACCAAAATTGTTGCGTCGTAAGTCAATCTTTGAATATACCAGGGTCGGTGCTTTATTTTTACCAAATCCAACTCGGAATTCAATCGAACAGGGTGAATTTGCACATTTCCATTCAAATGATGGTTCATTTCATACGATACTACATCTATCCGATGCGAAATTATTAATAGATAACCAATGGAGTGAAAATTGTCCATTCGTTGGCAAGAATATATTGAATAAAATAATCGTTTCTCAAAAACATTTCTATTTTTCATACGCTCTTGACGAAATTTCCTTAGAAGACAGATGCGCGTCTTATTGGGAGAAGTACTTGGTAGCTTTAGCCGATTCTGTTGATGGTGAACTTCTACTAGAAAAAGCAAATCTGAACGTTCTCAGGACGGCGTGGACTCACGGTGAATTTCCTATTAAAGGTCTAAGACGTTCGAAGAGATTCATCGAATGCACTTCGATCCTAGAGAAAGCAGTATCATGGTTGGCAACAGTCCCCTGCTCGTCCTCTACCCCTTTCTACGACATTGATGAGGTACAGCTCCTGCAAGAGCACCCCGAAACATCTTTATTTATGAGTCCAAGTCCAAGCGCATAAATGTTCTATGAACTCGGCGTAATCGTCTTAATGGGCAATCTTAAATTGTGCAAAAAATCTTTCTATTCTTGCCATATGAATTCCACGTACGTTAATGTAATCAATTTACCCACTGGTTGTTCTCTCCTGTATCTTCTTCTTTCGACCGCGTGAAATGGTATGGTCGTGGTCTTCTTCTCTTCGTTACGTTACTGAATTTTTTCATATTGTTATCGTTCTTTATCTTTATCTTTCTCTTTTTCTTTTTCTTTTCTTTTTCCCTTTCACTGTTTCATCTTCTCCTCATTAACATTGTACTGCAAGGATCAATTCGATCACATTGTCAGCAAAATATTAAAAAAAAACAAACATTTCTATTAATTTATGCTCCACAAAATGAAGACGTTTTACAAATTTGACAAACTATCTTAAATGCGACTGTTAGCTACTTATAATCGTGATAATAAAATAAACAATTGAAATAGAATTCTTTTGTTTATATTCTATTGCAGCAATTGATTTGCTTTCATAAAACTAGTGATAGCTTTAGCATACTTTTCGACATAAATCTTCGAGTCGAATTCGTTTCGTACAACATACGAAAGTTCAGTTTGAATGACATTAATATTTGATGAATAATGATTTGTTATAAAACCACCCTTGTAAAAAACGTTCTTGTTCGGTTTTGGATTATTTAGAGAAGGATATGATATGCCAAGACCATTCGATTCGAAAAATGTGCCGAGCGATTTAGAACCACTTATGCATTCACTTCGATTTTGTGGGCAGGATAATTCAATAAGAGATTCAATTGAAGTTGGCGATAAAATACCGTTACTTAGTTGGTCACCTGATAGACGAATCCCAATCATTGTATAACTACAGAGAACGAAGAGAAATTTGTTTTTATTTCTTGAAAAAAAAAACGAAGAGCAACTTTGAACTCTTACTTTCCTTGTCCATGCTGATGAATATCAAGTAATAAGCCAGTACCATTATATTTCTTTTGAATTTGTTTCACCGTTTTTTGTAAATAATTGTGATATCTAGTATATGCTTTTATCGTCTTCGGATGATTAAATGTAGCTTCATTTATTTCACGATTAAAATCAATTTTCTTTCGATTCCATTGAGCAACAATAGCAAATGGTAATAGATTATACGTTCTATACAATTCATCGACTAGATCTTCAGTAAATTGGTCGTAACTAGCGAAATCTTGTACAGTTGTAATGGAGCAACGATTTCCATCAGAACAGAAGTCATCAAAACGAAATGTACATACAGTTGAATTATTTCGTTGGCAACCACCAATGGTACGATCGGGTATGTCACCTGGAATGTCACTGCCAGCGTGTGGCGATGAGAGTATAAGATTTGCATTCGGTAAATCATAATGAATAGCTTTAAAAGAATTTCGATAGCCAGAAAAATACAATGGAGAATATAATAATTCTGATGAAATCAAGCGAACAAAGAAAAAAATAAGGATAAACATGTTTTATCTATTGACATAAAAACAATTATGATCAGTTTCATTTGCACTTTTCCGTAAGTATATTCTGCTTACTTTAATCTCTTGTCCTTTTCATGTTTGATAATATACATATCCAGCACTACAAAAACACAGTCATGTTTAGGATTATATGCAAAATGGCAGGCCCTTTAGACTTAAAAAAATATCTTATTGTTAGACTATACTTAGATTAATCAAAGATTCTGGTTTAATATTTCGTCTAGAACGATTTCTTCGTGCTTAAAATCACCTCAATGCAGATAGAAAACCATAGATCTTTGAGATCTAATGCAGCTCGTCATAGACAGTATCAATATCAAACTGATGGAATTTATAGTGTATTATTCATGTTTGCTTTGAGTTTTTGTCAAAAGAAATAATCGAAAGAGGAGAAAAACAAACGTGAAAAAATTTTTTCAGTGTTTTAAAACAAACTACGAAATTTCATAACTCTTTCAAATCAAAATTCCAGACAAAATACATCATACCATTGCTTTCTCATATATGTAGCTTAACTAAACCCACGCCCCTTATCGAGATTAATGCAATGTTAATGAAACTGTTGATAATTTTTTTAAAGTTAATTTTCAAATTATATCACTGAAAAAATAAAACATCGTCCTTCAAGGTCTCACTATTCAAGACTATTCATATTTTGAATGCTTTGATAATTCACTGCAAATTATTATATGTATCTATATATTAAGTAAGTAGTTTCTTCAAATTGTAAATTATATGACTCTTTTCTACATACAAAATTGAAATATCAGATAAACAATAGTTTAGCTCAAGGGCATCAATCCAATCGTACACATATTTTAACCAACGATTAACTCGTAGCCTAACAACAGTCTCAAATAATCATTGAATAATGTATAATACACTAGTCCATCGTTACTAGTAAATAAGCGATGATATTCTAGATAGTTTAATGATAACCAAAGCCTTTACACAGAATCTTTTTTTCGAACTCAAAACACTACTGACATCTGTCATGATTGTAAGAAAAAGTGGCTCTTTCTATGACAACGTAACTTACATATAAATGCTAATGTCTGTCGACAATCAACGAGAAAGAAATAGTTTTAAAGTGAACAACGTAGAAACAGACGAAAGAAAAAAAAACAATTTATACTATTGTAGATTTCAACGATGCCCCAAGAAAATGGATATCGTTCGAATCAAACTTCAAATTTACGTGGTAATTTGAATCAAACAGATAATGGAACTGATAAATTTCCTTCGAATCCAGAAGTTCGAGAACGAGGATATTATTCTGAATTAGCAACAGTAAATCCCGATTCATCATTTGAAGTAAAATTAAATTAAAAATTTTCAGAAGATTTTTTTAATAAAAACAAATTTAGGTTCCTAGACAAGCACCGATTGCTCATGATGATGTTTTACGGGAAACATTTCGTTTGTCGAATACAGCTCGAGGTATTGTTGAATTTCCATGCATAGCAAATCACAAATTATCTAGAAAATTCTTTTCATATTGAAATTTTTAGCAAGTGTTTTCGATTTGAAAGGAATCGATATTGCGCAATTATTAGCTATTAGTAAGCAAGGAGAGTTTACAACTGAATTTAAACGAAGTGATGTATATTTGGAAAAAACAATTGAACCAAAAGTATTTATGCCATTTTATACGGCACCGTGCGCATTACCGAGAAAAGTCGAAATTGAAAGGTAGATTAAATATAAAAGTTGTATAAATTCATCAATTTTGTTTGAAATTTTTACAGACGAAAGCGTCTCTATCTTTCACTTGATTTACCAACATTACTTCAAGAACGAAATATTGATACAAATAAACTAATGCCAAAATATGTACCAGCTGATAAAGTTGTTACGTTGAATATTCCAAATGAAGTAAGATTTTCTTCTCTAATCTCAAAATAAAAATTCTACTTCAATATATTTATTAGGATCCAGCACCATTCGATGCATTTTTACCCTTACATTACTTTGATGACACTGAATTTGAAATTTGGACACCACAAGCATGGCTTTCTCTCGGTCACGATCCATTAACTGGTTTAAATAAACCATTGCCGGGTATTGCACTTCTACCCAATGTATCAGCATCTGAAATTCGTATGTTATAATAAGTTTTTTTTTAGTATATTTTATTAATATAAATTTTTAGATGATATCAAAGATACTGATTTAACATTTAATTGGGTAAATGTTAGTATTCTTGACTACGATACCGAAAAACAATTATGGCTCGTAACAACTGACGAGAGAGAACACATTGTATTTGATATGTATCGACCTGCAAAACAAAGTCGTAAACCACGTGAAGCTATTGAAAGAAGACAACCATCACCGGAAAAGTTAACTACATATGGTTAGTTTGAAATGAGCTCATTTATAATAACTTTGAATAAAATACGAATGAGTTTTCAATCGCTTGAGTGTCATAAAAAGTATTGCCTACTCAAATGAGAGACATCAGTTTGGCAAGATTCGAAATAGCAGACTCTATTTTGGTTTTTCTTTAATACTATTTAATTATTTCTCTACAGATCATATTGATCATCATGCGAGCGGTACTCACGGTCGCTATTGGATACCACGCATTCAATTATATTTTCTTGCTGAAGATCCTCGTGTATTTGCTGATCGTGTGACGAAAGCTTATCATGGTCGAAAGCGCACTGAAGCCGAACTTCGTTCAGCATTATTTATTGATTGTATGCCAATCGATGGTATCGGTAAACTCGATGATGAACGTATAAAACGAATGATTGAATTAACTAAAACAAGTGCTATATCAAAAACAATGTATGTACTCCAGCTTGCTCGGCACGATTCAATGGATAATATCTTTGTATTTCTTTTTCTTTTAGTAAAGATGAATATGTTACACCGATAGTTGAAGAAGTTAATTTAGATTATGCTCGTACAATGAATTCAATGATATTCGAAGAAGTTACTCAATCGGATCCAATATCGTTTGCTTTTATAACATTGCCGACCAAACAACGTCGACCGGTTCCACACACTGCTTGTGTTGACATACCTGAATATTCGTTTAATGAAGTTTTTGATCAATTTAAAGTTTGTTAAAAATTAAATTATAAAAATAGCGTTCTATCTCCTTCGGTTTTAGTTTATATCATTATTGACATCAAAGCCAGCTATTGATGCATTAAAACTTGTTCGAACTGAATGCGATTATGTTATAAATAATCTGAGCTTATTACAAAAAACTATTCCAAAACATGTTAAACTTGATGAATTTGAAAGTATGCAATTTAATCAAACATCAACCGTAAGTTAATTCGAGTTTTTCAGAAGTTCATAGTTTTATTCGAAAAATTCTTATTTTTTCTTTTGTTATTAGACGCACATGTATTTAACTGATACATGGAAAAATAACCTTCGACAAGGTATTAAAACAAAATTCATTGATGTTGGGCGTGGATGGTAAACAAAACGAACTTTTAGTATTCCGGAAAATCATGTTTTTTTTTGTTTTCGAAAAGGTATAATATCAACGAATCTGATTTTCATATATATCAAGTATCTAAATTAAAAAAATTTATCGAACGTGTGAAATTCATGATGCAAGATACACTTCGATTTCTTGTACAAGATTCATGTCAAAATTATGTTCGAATGATAACAGATGCATGTTCACCTGTTTTAAATATGACCGAAGGCTTTAAATGGCCAACAAATGACTTAATTAATACTCCCTATAGGTATGCAATATGATGAAGGCTCAACAGTCATGTCTCTCTAAAAAATAAAATCATGTCGAAAGCGTGGAATTTTTCTCATAGAATTTCTCTTACAGCCATATGATATCTGAGATGAGCTTAGTTCAAATATTTTTTCACGAAAAGTGAACTTATATGAAATGTTTATTTTAGACCACCGAAAAATCCATTGTTTCATTTGGATATTACTATTGATCAAGTGGGTCCTCGTTATATAACATCATATGAAAATTTTGGCAATAATATTTTGGGTGCATTTGATCGTGCTATCGTACAAACACAAGCTATACCACAGATTGAAAAAGTATGGAAAAGGCCACGAATCTCGAGTTTTCTTGGGTGATGAAATGATAAATGTTTTTATTTAGGATATTATGGAAAATATTTTTTGGGGTGGTGAAATGCTAAAATTAGAATCTGTTGCTTTGCAAGAAAAGAAAGTTAGTGAATGGCGAGACGTTTTGCAGAAAGCTGTCCAAGCTTCACTTATTCCATTAAAAGCTTATGCTGATGGTAGAATTTAGCTGGTTAAATTATTCTTTATATTATTGCTGTTTTTTTTCATTTTGCTTTAGCTTATGAACCTTATGTTGCATTAATGAATCTTAATGTTGATCATTATACAAAGTACGTTGATATGAAATGTTAGATTTTAATTTATTGATTTATTTTTTTTTATAGAGATTTCGAAAAAACAGAAAAATCTATTGAAGACTATCGTAATGAAATCTTAATGCATATCCGTGAAAAAGATAAACTGGAAAAAACTATTCCAATATCAATTGTTATTGGTCCTTATTATATATTTGCACAAAAATTACGTGAAGCTTTATCAAACAAAAGAAAATTATTAATTGAAGCGTTACTATTAAGTCAAACACGCAAAGCAAGAACAAGAACGGAAGAGGTATAGATTTTATTTAACCATATTAATGTTTTCGTCCGATGATCGTCGGATCAATAACACCAGAAATAAATAGTACTGCCGAAGGGATAGTTTGTTGATTTTATTCTGGTAGTTTCACGATCAAAAGAACGGCAAATGAGAGGGTGAGAGAGAAAACAGCGGATGCAGCACTGAATTTTCTCCGATGAAATATCGTCATCAACTTCCGCTATTTTCATATCGAAGTTGGTCTAAATTTCCACATAGAAAATCACGTTTTATCTTTAAAGGAAACATAAATTCATAATTGTTAATAAAATAAATGCAGTTTTTATATCAGTTCTTCCTTTGAACAAAAAGAA